ATCCGGATTGTAGTAGAATATTGTGTCTGAACCATGGTGTGGAATGTCTTAAACGCCAAAAACACATCACTTTTATGCTTAAGAATGTATAACCATGTCATCCGTGTGCAATCATCTGTGAAAGTTACAAACCACCTAATACCAAATGAAGTAGTAGTTAGAGATGGTCCCCAAACATCCGAATGAACAAGACCAAAAAGAATAACACTTTTATTAGAATTCAACGGATAAGAAACATGGTGATTCTTGGCAAGTACACAAGTGTCACATTTAAAGTCTGAAATCGAACAACCAACAAATAAATCCAAAAATATATGCTGTAAATAACTGAAAGACGGATGACCTAAACGGTGATACCATAACCATAACTGACATCGCTTGTGATCAACGGCTCCTTGGGCGAGATTGACCCGTCCTGTACTGACATCGTCCACAAAATAAAGATCCCCCCTCTTAGTACCACGACCAATTATCTCTTTCATAAAAATATCCTGAATAAGACAAAACTTCGGATACAATAGTACACAACAGTTCAATTGCTCAGTAGCTTGGCCAGGAGATCTCAATTTATGCTTTAGTGAAGGTACAAGTAGTGTATGCGGCAAAGAGAGGGTAAGCGTGAGGTGTACAATGCCAGCGCCAGTTACCGGTGAGATGACACCATTAGCATTAGTAATATTTCATCGAAGTGGAATAGTATAACAAGCTAAATCAGTAGGGTTATAGGTTATATGGTATGTGGCACCGGAGTCAATGATATAACCAGAATGAGTATCATCATTATTCATATTAAAAGCATAACCACAGTTACTTGAGGACTCCGGAGGCATGTTGGAAGAACTCGAAATTGGAGGAGGATTCATGGTAGGGTCGGTTAGGGTAGTAGTGTTTAGTATAAGGGTAGGATCGGTTAGGATGAGGTTGTTTTCACCGTGGAGTGGTGGTTGGTTCTCCATGGGAGGGCCGAGTTTGCTTAAGGGAACGGGCAGAGTAGAAATCCTAAGATCTCTACTCTGATACCATGCTAATTAGAGCTTATCTTTGGGGCTTAATTTTTTGATATTATTTTTCTCACCAAGGAGGAAAATATATAATGTACAAGAGTGTTTTACAAGGAAAGAAACATCAAATAACCTAATTACAATTTGATTACAAGGACTCAAATAGGTAACGTAACTAATTACAAAAGTCAACTCTCCAACAGATGCTTGTATACTTCAGGATCCATGCATTTGTCAATAATCTCCTCCTCCTTCTGCCCCTCCTCCTGGTTCCATTGCTCTGCAGTGTTCGCCGTCTTGATATCTTCCATGTAGTGCTCATGCATGGTTCGCCATCTCGATATCTTCCACATTGTGTGCATGATCATAAGCAGCACCCCTTTCCATCTTTGCCAAGGTTTCAATTTCTTGTCTTGAACTTGAAGCTGCCATGATGTATATGTGCACTGCCTCGACCAACTGACTAAAATAAAGATTGATGGAAGCACTATATATAACTAGTATCAATAAAAGAAAAGAAAATGAGAAGCAAACTAGAGGAGGAGGAGGAGGAGGAAGATGTCCGATCTTTGAACTGACGATGCAAGATTAGTTCATAGAGTATATATACACATACACGTTATACTAACGATATTGTAAGATTGGGGGTTGTCTGTACCTCGGAGTCAATCATGAAAGCTACCTAACGCCAAATATTACACACACACACTCACTCACACACACACACACACACACACACACCCACACACAATGTATGTGTACACACACACACACACATACATACATACAAGAAGCCAGGGAAGGGATCTCTATTTTTTTATAAAAATGGGGATTAGTTGTGGGGCCCACACCACATTGAACTTTAAAGATCCGAACTGTCTATTTTTCAAGTTGTACCCCATAGATCATTCTTGCAAAAAATTAGCCAAATCAGAAATATTTATGACATCTAATTGAGTAAAAAGAAATTGACGAATACTTTGTTATCTAAGAAACATTAAAATTTCATCGTAATAATTAAATAGGCAAATTATTTCATATTGAATTGAATTTTTTCAAGGATCGTTGAAGTTCGTTGTGGAGGGGGTCCCATAACTAATTCCTTTTTTTGAAAAAAATAAGAATCATTTCCCTTAAAGGGTCTACATACATACATTATATTAACAATATTGTAAGATTGGGGGGTTGTTCATACACCGGAGTCTATTATTTGAAGGTTCCATACCACGACAACATCTGAGGAAAGTGGATGAACTATTTTGGTTAAACCACATAATTGGTCAATCACAATAAATTGTTATCGAACTCGTCATTCATGTAGCCTGAGGGTTGTTCATACATCAAAGTCAATTCTACGAAGGTTCCATACCACGACAACAGTTGACGAAATTATATGAACGATTTTAGTTAAACCACACAATTGGTCAACCACAATAAATTGTTATCAAACTCGTGATTCACATAAGAGTCAAATTACTTAAAAATAAAAAGTAATATTACTTAATCGTAATATTAGTGTCGGGCTATAGAACCTTAATTGTTCAGTTTAGTCTACTTAATTAGTTATCCTAAACCCTATACCTTTTAAGAAGTTCAGTCTCTATACCAACTAAAATTGCATCTGTAAAAATATAAAATGTAATCGTTAGTAAGATCCTCTCACCGATCGATGATCTTAAACCGGCCTCTGGGCAACCACAAACCAATATCTCCAGTATGCAGCCAGCCATCGACGTCAATCACCTCTTCCCTGTCCGTTCAAAGTGGACAGTCGGGTAGACTAAATAGTACTAAACTTTGTATCTACTAACTACCATAATGGCATAATCCATAATCATAACAGATGCAAGTTAAGTACAGAGGCAGATTGTCTGCCTTCCTAGATGTTATTTTCATCTCTTTCTATTTATGCGGTCACGGTTAAGTTACGTTAATATTTTATTTTCTTATTATTTTTTGTCTTATTATCTTTATAAAACAATAAATATAAAATGTTGACGTAACTTAATCATGATCACATAAAATAAAAAAGGATGAAAAATATACCTAAATAGAAGGGCAAAGAATCTACCTTCGTTAAGTACGTCTGCACCTCGTCTTTGTAGTAGCCTTGGAAAACGATGGGACCCCTGACACGGATTTCACCACGAGGATGGGGCTTGTCCTCGGAGATGTAGTTCATTTGACATCTACCAGTTTTATTTCTGTAAAGAAAGAAAGCTTTTTTTTTTTTTTTCGTAACTAGCTACGGAAATTCATGGATGAATTTTGACGCGTGTGATTCATAAAATTATATAGTAACACCAGTATATTTTTTAAGAAGCTAAAGGACCTTAATCTTTAAAAAGTCAAGCCTGGTTATTCAGTGATGAAGCTCAGGATATGATAACTGTGTTAAATTGTGTTAAATTGTATGCGGTAAGATAGCAAACATACACCCTAAGGAAGTCCATGACATCAGGGGACAAGGGTGAAGCATCGGATGCATAAAGGTATCGTTTGGTATGCAGACGGGACAGGATGAAATGAAACGGGACGGGACGGGACAGGACGGAACGGAACGGAGCGAGAGCAAAGATGCCCTTGGATGAAAACAAGGAGGAAGAAGAAGGAGACGGAGAGGTTATAATTTTGTGTTCCACGGATGTGGAACGAGTCGTTCCAGGGGGGTGAGGTGGAACGAAAATTCACCCAAAACTCGTCCCGTGAAACAGCTCGTTCCACCAGTTTTAGGCGCACCAAACGTGGGATGGAACACCTTGTCCCATTCTGTTCCGTACCGTCCCACGTACCAAACGGTACCAAAACGAACGCATCCTCCAAGCTTTTCCTTAAATTTGTTGAATACCAAGCTGTCCCAAAGCGGAGATGCATTTGAATCTGAAATTATTGGACAATGTAGGGTTTTGGCGGAAGATTGAAGCTAACCATGAGACTGTTTAGTTAGTAGTATAATTTACCACTCATGATGGAATGCTTCTGCACTCTCTTTTTATTTTATTTTTTTATTTTTTTTATCACCTCTTGCACAAATGTTTTTCGTAATTATTAAATTAAACAATTTAAATAAGAATTTGGAGTCATAATTGTGGATACAAATTTCTGTTGTCTTCTCATTTGATGAAAATGCACCTGCAAAATAATAACATCTAAGATTAAGGCCACACGATGAATTTTGGGGGGGGGTGCTTTGGCCGAAGAATCTTCGATGCCAAAGTTAGAATTCTGAAAAGAATGTGTATAGAAGTTTGTGGGTAGCAAATGGTTCGTTTTTTAGTGGGAGAATATGGCTATTTATAAGGGAGTGACCGACCCTATTTGGCAAATAGTGGCCAGCCATATATGGTGAATTTGTGTGAATAATTGTAAGATATTATGTGAAATAATGTTTTGCAATTAACATGACAATTAATCCTAAATTAAATAGAAAAATTGGGAGTTACCATTTGAATAAGGATTTGATGAGGAGTGATGAAAGAGATTTGAATAAATACAATTTTGATCATCTTTGACTATTTCTTGATTGAGCCGTTATTGTCTATTACATGCGCGTGAGTGTTCCGATGTGCTTCGAGGATAATTTTATCATTTTCACCCAAAAATTCACGTATCACATTCATAATTTTCCTGATTACAATAACTAAAAAGGAGTGCAAAAGATAAAAAACGTGTGCAGAAAACACTATTTTTTAAGTGAATTTGGAGGTAAATAAAGGCTGAATGATTCGCATGGCCTGTAATCTGTCATGCCCTTAATGTCTCCCTAAATTCAACTCCTCATGATGAAAAGAAGCTACGGGAAAAAGAAAATATCATGCGTATGAAATGGGCAGGAAAACTTAAATCTATAGGCTACCAATTTCATACGATAAATGAAAATTTTCCACAAAACATCGAAACGACGTCGTGCGCTCGAGACTGTAGAGCGCGGTAAAATCAAAAAGTAGTTGTGAAATTATTGTAACAGACATCTGCATCGCATAGAAATCTCAGCCATTAAAATCCAACTCGGCGACTCAAAGATGATCCTAATAATTGAGGATGGTGGATGATCCCAAAACTGCCCCATCTTTGTCCCACGCTCACCGACTCCCACACGCACAGACACCCTGATCAGGAGTGAGAAAGAAAGACTCTGAGGAGTGAGAGAGAGCTTAATTGAGTTTGCTAGGGTTTTAATGGCGGCGATTGGGAAGACGAAGCTGGACTCCGGGTGGCTCGCGGCGAGGTCAACGGAGGTCAGTCTCAGTGGGATTCAGCTCACCACCACCCACCCACCCTCAATTGGCACATCCCCTTGGATGGAGGCCGTTGTTCCCGGAACGTAATTTCTCTCTCTCTCTCTCTCTCTCACATTTGACGTTTCAGTGTGATTAACTAAGTAAATGTGGTTTAATTTGATTAAAGTTTCGAGCCTTAATCTTGTGTTTGTGGCCTGGTGGGTTCACAGTTAATTTCGATCCTTAAAGTTGTCGAATTGTTTTGCTTGACATAGATATGTGGGGAAAATTGTAATGGTAAAATTGGTTGAAATTGTTGTGCGACATTTTTCAAATTTTTGGAATTGGTTGATTTATGTTATTCGTTTAAATTGGATGAGGATCCTCTCCGAATCCTCTTTGTGGGGATCTTGGAATTTTCCGTACATCGTGCAGTCAGTTTTGGTTAACTATTATTTATATTCAATTTTAAATTCAAAATTCAAAATAATTTCTAACTGCACAATGTACAATCAACAGATTCGATTGTTTGATCATCTGGATCCCCACAAAGAAGATCCGGAGAGAATCCTATTCCCACATTTACTGTTATTGGATGACCAATTGATGAAAGTCTAGAATTTGGAGCTCAATGCTAATGTTGGTTTAGTTTGGCAGTGTTTTGGCAACCCTGGTGAAGAACAAAGTTGTGCCAGACCCGTTCTACGGGTTAGAGAACGAGTCAATCATAGACATTGCTGATTCCGGGAGGGAGTACTACACGTTCTGGTTCTTTACAACTTTTCGTTGTAAACTGGTACATTATTCTTTTAAATGATGAAATGGACTTTGTGGTTGACTGGAAATTATTTCCGACGTGTCGTTTCCTTTCGGAAAGATTTATAAGATTATTCTCGATTTTCCAGTCAGGTACTCAGCACCTTGATCTGAATTTCCGTGCAATCAACTATTCTGCGGATGTATATTTAAATGGGCACAAAACAGTCCTGCCAAAAGGGATGTTCCGAAGGCATTCTCTTGATGTCACTGATGTAGTGCATCCTGATGGTGAAAACTTGCTTGCCGTTCTTGTTTACCCTCCGGATAATCCGGGGAGTATTCCTCCTGAGGGTGGGCAAGGCGGTGATCATGAGGTACATCTCTATATCCATAAACCTATTGATGACATTCTTCAACATTTTTTTCTCAAAGATTAACCTTCTACTTATAATTTAATTATGAAATGTATGGCTTGTGCAAACTGAGATTATTATAGTGTTAATATTAGAATTTCATTTCAGATCGGGAAAGATGTAGCAACGCAGTATGTGGAGGGTTGGGATTGGATATGTCCTATAAGGTGATTACGTTTTCCTATTGAGATTTGGGAGTGTATGCTTTTCATCTTCTTCCTAAAATGGGATGCGAGAAACAGTGTCAGCATTTTCTATTCTTATGTCAAGAAGATTTTTCAACAACATGCCAATAAACTGAGACAAGAAACTATCTATTGTTGTTGAGCAGGAAGAATCAATGCTCTGCATCAAAATTTCGTGATGATAAAAAGCAATAATATACATGCATTCTCTGGTTTATATTCTAATGCAAATTGATCTAGAAAGTTTCTTCTCGGTTCCATTTGTTACTCTGCCTGTGCAGATTACTGTTATACAGATCTTATCTTTTTAAAAAGGTTTTGCAATCTGATTCACTTGTATATTGATACAGGGATAGAAACACCGGCATATGGGATGAGGTGTCGATTTCCATAACAGGGGTGAGTTTTAGTCTTAATGATTCATTTCCTGTCATTGAATTTTCCATGTATTGAATCTTGTTAGGAAATAACTTAATGAAGTCGGTCCCATTTCATGCAGCCAGTAAAAATAATTGACCCTCACTTGGTTTCAACGTTCTTCGACAATTACAAGAGGGTATATTTGCATACTACTACTGAGTTGGAAAATAAGAGCACCCAGTCTGCGGAGTGTTCACTGAATATCCAAGTAACAACAGAACTTGAAGGAAATTTTTGTTTACTAGAGCACGTTCAGACCCAACATTTGTCAATCCCTGCTGGATCCCGAGTGCACTATACTTTTCCCGAGGTTCGTGACAGAACATACTATCCATTTTTATTATGCTAAAAGAAACAATTACCTTCTGTTTATCTTTATATTCAATCGGTTCTATTTATTGGGCTTAGCTTCCGATACTTGTGTTCATTACTAAATGTTAAATTTGCAGCTCTTTTTCTATAAACCTAATCTATGGTGGCCAAATGGAATGGGAAGGCAATCCTTGTACAAAGTATCTATTACTGTTGATGTAAAGGGATATGGAGAGTCTGATTTGTGGGGCCAATTATTTGGTTTTCGTAAAATTCAGAGCCACATCGATACTGTCACAGGAGGAAGGTATGATATAAATACACAATGTTTTATATAGATTTATTATTCATGCGTGCTCTGTTTTTGGTATGTAGTGTAACCTGTACATTATCCTATTCAGGTTGTTTAAGGTCAATGGTCAGCCTATTTTTATTCGTGGCGGTAATTGGATATTGTCAGATGGCCTCCTCCGGCTTTCAAAGAAGCGTTACAAGACTGACATCAAGTTCCATGCAGATATGAATTTTAACATGATCCGTTGTTGGGGTGGTGGGCTGGCTGAGAGGCCGGACTTTTATCATTACTGTGACATTTATGGCTTGTTGGTAAGTTGTGCCTGTTCTTGCTTTCAAGTGCATGTTTGGTAGGTTTCACAGGACATGGAAATCTCGGGTGAATCTAATATGTACTGCTCTGCTTTGGACTTTAAACTTTTTTTTGTAGGTCTGGCAAGAATTTTGGATTACAGGAGATGTCGATGGACGAGGTATCCCTGTATCGAATCCAGATGGTCCGCTGGACCATGATCTTTTCTTGCTATGTGCAAGAGATACTGTCAAGCTTCTCAGGAACCATCCTAGTCTTGCCCTTTGGGTGGGCGGAAATGAGCAAGTTCCACCAGATGACATCAACACGGCTTTGAAAAATGACCTCAGGCTCCATCCGCATTTTGAGAAATCGGTAAATGAAAGTGGCAAGTCCACTGAAGATTTGTCCCCAGTGTTGAGGGATCCAAGCCAATATCTTGATGGTACGCGTGTTTACATCCAAGGATCCATGTGGGATGGGTTTGCAAATGGAAAGGGGGACTTCACCGATGGTCCTTACGAAATTCAAAATCCCGAAGACTTCTTTAAAGATGACTATTACAAATACGGGTTCAATCCTGAAGTTGGTTCTGTAGGCATGCCGGTTTCAGCTACCATCAGAGCCACAATGCCTCCTGAAGGATGGCAGATTCCTTTGTTTAAGAAGGTTTCTGAATATTACGAAGAAGTTCCAAACCCCATATGGGAATACCATAAGTATATCCCTTACTCAAAACCAGGCAAGGTTCATGATCAGATTTTACTTTACGGGTCGCAACCAAAGGATCTTGATGATTTTTGCTTGAAGGTAAACAAATCTTTTGAGTATTTGGGGTGCACGTTGGATCCATTTCTGTTTTGATTGATTGACCTAATTTATAAACCATCACAGGCTCAACTTGTGAACTACATTCAGTATAGAGCTCTACTGGAGGGTTGGACTTCCCGAATGTGGACTAAATACACCGGTGTTTTGATTTGGAAAACACAGAATCCATGGACAGGTCTTAGAGGTCAATTTTACGATCATCTTCTAGACCAAACAGCAGGTTTCTATGGCTGTCGCTGTGCTGCGGAGCCAATCCACGTCCAACTTAACTTAGATACATATCTTATAGAGGTAAATTGGCTATCGATGGAGTTAACCCTCTAGACGTGGTTTGAGTCGTTGCGATTTGCTGATCATTTTCTCTTCCCTTGAACAGGTTGTCAACACTACATTAGAGGAACTATCTGACGTCGCTGTAGAAGCCTCAGTGTGGGATCTAGAAGGAACATGCCCATACTACAAAGTTCACGAAAAGGTGTCAGTGCCCCCAAAAAGAACAGTGCCAATTGCTGAGATGAAATATCCAAAATCTAAAAACCCGAAGCCAGTTTACTTTCTTCTTCTCAAACTGTATCACAAGTCAGACTACAGGATTATTTCCAGGAACTTTTACTGGTTGCATCTGTCGGGTGGGGATTACAAGCTGTTAGAACCCTACAGGAAGAAAACAGTGCCACTCAAGTTTACGTCCACAGTTTTCATCAAAGGAACCACCTACGAAATGCATATGCGTGTCCAGAACACATCGAAGAAACCAGATGCCAAGACTTTAACCTATCAAAACAATTTCACTACTAAACAAGGTGACGGCGATTTTGATACAGCCTCGGTGGATTGTGTACAGGATGGAGTAGGTACAAAGAACGAAGTTAGTTGGCTTCAGAAAATATCCAGACGTTTCACAAAGGAGACTGATGATTTGAAAGTTGCTGAAATCAATGGCCCCAACATTGGCGTTGCTTTCTTCCTTCATTTTTCTGTTCATGGAGTGAAGAAGAACCATAAGGAAGGAGAGGACACAAGAATTCTTCCCGTTCATTACTCGGACAATTATTTTTCACTGGTGCCAGGTGAGGCTATGCCCATCAAGATCTCTTTTGAGGTCCCTCCCGGTGTCACGCCCCGAGTTACTCTCGCCGGATGGAATTACCATGGTGTCCATACAGTTCATTGAGTTGTTCTGTTTTGTCTATGCCCCTTGTAATATCTGAGTTATACACGGTGAAGAACAAGTATTGCTTGAAATAATTTCAAATTTGAGGGAAATTTTTTACTTTTTAGTAATGATCTCGGAGCTTAGTAACTTTTTTCGATTTCCTTTCTAGGCTTTGGATTTGATTATGATTACTCTAATCTTTTAAAGAGTGCCAATTGGTCTCATTCCGTTAAATTTGTCAAGTTTTCGTTTAAAGATGTGGATTACTTATGTCCATTCAAGCGTGAAAACTAGAAGAAAATGTGATAATTTTGGGGCATTGCTGGAGTTTTTCCCAACCCCAAGCAAACTATGATTGAACAAAAAAAAAAAACATAGATAAAACGTTCATTGACGAGAAAAATCGAAACTAAACGGTGTCGTTTGCCGGATGTGAGTATGGAATGCGCGGTAAAAAATCAAAATGCTGTTGTAAAAATATAACGGATACAACCGTACGTATCCCGTGAAGTCTCAGCCCTTGAATACAAATCTGAATCCTAACCGGATTTTTTTTTGTGAGAATTTCAGAGATTTGTGAATCGTGTCCATTCATTATACATCGTGCTATCAGAAATTATTTTAAATATTTTTATTTAAAATTAAACACAAATAATATTTAATAAAAACTAATTACATAATATGCACAATTCACAAATTCTCATAGCTTGAAAACAAACCAGTCACGTGCTATTAAATGATACACCATCCTTGTTGACCCACCTCAGCAGCACACCAACCGACCGAAGTACACTGAGACTGAGTGTAAACACTCAGATTCTGAGAGACACAGAGAGAGTTTGATGAGTGAGAGTGAGAGCTGAACTGAGCTAGCTAGAGCTTAATGGCGGCGATAGGGAAGACGATTCTGGACTCGGGGTGGATTGGAACCAGGGACAGGGAAGTCACCGTCACTGGGACCCAGCTCACCACCACTCACCCTCCCTCTCCCGCCCTTCCTTGGATGGAGGCCGTCGTTCCCGGAACGTAATCTCTCTCTCTCTCTCTCTCTCTCAAATTTCAGCAAATGTGATCTAATTTATTAAAGTTTCGAGCTTTAATCTTTTGGGGTTCTCTTCTGGGTTTAAGTTGGTTAATTAACTTCAATTCCTCAAGTTCTTAAGTTGGGTTTAATAACTTTGATTGCTGCTGCTAATTAATCTGAATCCACAGTGTTCTGGCAACCTTGGTGAAGGGGAAAGATGTACCGGATCCTTTCTACGCATTGCAAAACGACTACATTATAGACATTTCTGACTCCGGGAGGCAGTACTACACATTCTGGCTCTTTACAACTTTTCAGTGTAATCTGGTACGCTGACACATTCGAATGATAAGTGCAGTTTTCGAAACATTTGTTGGATTACGATCTCCATACTAATCTTTGTTTTTCAGTCAGGCACACAGTTTGTGGATCTGAATTTCCGCGCAATCAATTACTACGCCGAGGTGTATCTAAATGGGCACAGAAAAGACCTGCCAAGAGGGATGTTTCAAAGGCATTCTCTTGACGTCACTGATATAGTGCTTCCCAATGCTCAGAATTTGCTTGCTATTTGTGTTTATCCCCCGGATAATCCAGGGACTGTTCCTCCTGAGGGAGGGCAGGGTGGCGATCACGAGGTACAGATCGATATCCAAGAACCCTATTTTAATACATTCTATTTGTTCTAGATATCTGCTCAAAGAAAGATGTAGCTGCACAATATGTGGAAATGTGCGTTATTATAATCCAATTCTTATTTCAGATAGGGAAAGATGTAGCTGCACAATATGTGGAGGGTTGGGATTGGATGTGTCCTATAAGGTGACGATGTTTTACTGTTCTGTGATCATGAATTGTTTTTCATCTTTTTAATATGGGATGCGAGAAAACGATTAAGCATGTTTCTTTTTTTGATTGAAGATTTTTCCTCCTGTTTAAAGCTAAATGATACAAGAAGTATCCTATATTGTTTAGGCAGAAAAACCAATGCATCCTCTGGTGTACCTTCTCCTAATCCTATAGATATTATCATTGCAAAATAATTTTTAGTTGTGACCCACTTGTATAACGTTGCAGGGATAGAAACACGGGCATATGGGACGAGGTGTCAATTTCTGTAACAGGGGTGAGTTTTATTCATAATGATTCACTTCCTACCATAGAATTTTTCATGAGATTAACTGTCCTTTTGTGGTGATATGTCAAAATCCATTTCGTAGGGAAAGATAACAGTTTTATCTTTATGGTTTGATCATATGCGAAGTTGTAGGTCTCATTGTACTTCAAAAAATTTGGCTTTGTGATCTACAGTTTACCGAGCATCTAAAATTCCTGAAATTTCCAAACAGAATCAGATTACAATCTCTCTATAAGTGATGCATTCATGATGAGATCAATAATGATTTCTTCTAATTTCATATTATTCTGCAGAGTCAATGTATTTGGTCATGCAATTTCGTCTTCAAAAACCAATTTTCAGTTACAGTTATTTGTATAAGACTGTAAGTTCCTTTTTTTATTCTTGTTATCTTTTTGTGCAGCCAGTAAAAATAATTGATCCGCACTTGGTTTCATCGTTTTTTGACAACTACAAGAGGGTGTATTTGCATGCTACAACTGAGTTGGAAAATAGAAGTGCCTTGGTTGCTGAGTGTTCTTTGAATATCCAAGTAACAACAGAACTTGAAGGAAACGTTTGCTTAGTAGAGCATCTTCAGACTCAACATTTGTCAATCCCTGCTGGATCACGGGTGAAATATACATTTCCTGAGGTCCGTGAAAGAATATATGATGCGTTTTCATTATCTCAGTAGAACACAACACTTTTCTAGTATCACTTTGGTGTTTATCTTTCATTCAATTTGGTCTATCTATTTAGATTTAGCTTTCAAGACCTGTATTCTAATTTCTAAATAGTATAATTTGACAGCTCTTCTTCTACAAGCCGAATTTATGGTGGCCAAATGGTATGGGAAAGCAATCCTTGTACAATGTTGACATTACTGTTGATGTGAAGGGATACGGAGAATCTGATTTGTGGAACCAATTATTTGGATTCCGCAAAATTGAGAGCTACATTGATACTGCCACTGGTGGGAGGTATTCGATTTATTGTATCATTATTTCTGTAATGTTGGTTACATGTAGTGCTTGAACATGTCAACTCTTTTTCTGGTGTTTATGTTCTGTTACCTGTATAATCTGCTCTTCAGGTTGTTCAAGGTCAATGGTCAGCCTATTTTTATTCGTGGTGGTAATTGGACAGTATCAGATGGCCTCCTTCGACTTTCAAAAGAGCACTACAGAACAGCCATCAAGTTTCATGCAGATATGAATTTGAACATGCTACGCTGTTGGGGCGGTGGAGTGGCCGAAAGGCCAGAATTTTATCATTACTGTGATATTTATGGTCTGCTGGTAAGCATACCTCTCTATCTATGTTTTTCCTTCAGCTTTGCATATTTCGGTAGGTTTTATCGAGGAATAAGGGCTAAGTAGTGCGTGAACCATATGGCTGCTGTTTTAAATTTGTAGGTCTGGCAAGAGTTTTGGATTACTGGAGATGTCAACGGACGAGGTAAACCAGTATCAAATCTAAATGGTCCACTGGACCATGATCTTTTCTTGCTATGCGCGAGAGATACTATCAGGCTTCTAAGGAACCATCCAAGTCTTGTCCTTTGGGTGGGTGGAAGTGAACAAATTCCACCAGACGACATCAACACAGCTTTGAAACACGACCTCAGGCTCCATCCATATTTTGAAAACTCTTCAAATGAGAGTGGCAAGATTGTTGAAAAGTTGTCCCTGACTTCAGAGGATCCAAGCCAATATCTTGATGGTACACGCATTTACATTCAAGGGTCCTTGTGGGATGGGTTTGCAAATGGAAAGGGGGGCTTCACTGCTGGCCCTTATGAAATCCAAAATCCCGAAGACTTCTTTAAGGATGGGTTTTACGAATATGGGTTCAATCCTGCGGTTGGTTCTGTAGGCACACCAGTTGCAGCTACCATCAGAGCGGCAATGCCTCCAGAAGCATGGCATATTCCTTTGTTTAAGAAGGTTTCAAATGGTTATGAAGAAGTTCCAAACGGCATGTGGGTACACTTTAAGTACAAGCCTTATTCAAATCCGGGCAAGGTTCATGATCAGATTTTGCTTTATGGGTCACCGAAAGATCTTTATGATTTTTGCTTAAAGGTAAACTAATCTTTTGGTTATTCAGGGTGCACTTTGGACTCAGTTTCTGTTGTGACGATTTGGCTTACTTTAAATCATCTCAGGCTCAACTAGCTAACTACATCCAGTATAAATCTCTATTGGAGGGTTGGACTTCCCAAATGTGGACTAAATACACTGGTGTTTTGATTTGGAAAACACAAAATCCTTGGCCAGGTCTTGGAGGTCAACTTTACGATCACTTTCTAGACCAAACTGCAGGTTTCTATGGCTGTCGCTGCGCTGCTGAGCCAATACATGTCCAGCTTAACTTAGCTACGTATTTTATAGAGGTAAGTTGTAGAGTTACACAGTTCAAATCTTGTCTCCTTCACAATGTTGAAATCGATAATATTTTTGTGTTGAATGTGAATCTTAGTAGGACTAGTGTCCATTGATCCATTTCTGTAGCTGGGTGCAATGAACAAACTCTTGAGAAGACTAATTAATGACTTGCAAATACCTGATTTCTTCTCAACATACCCAACTTTGGGGACAATTTCCATTTAAGCGAAAGAAAAAGAATGAAAAGTCCTCCCAGAAGGAACACCAATCAGTGGAACCTAATCTCTTTTACACCGTGCTATTCACAGAGTTTACCATAGACATGTTTTAACATTTGCTGATGACCTTCTCTTCTTCCCTTGAACAGGTTGTCAACACTACATCAGAGGAGCTATCTGACATCGCTATAGAAGCCTCGGTGTGGGATCTAGAAGGAACATGCCCATACTACAAAGTTCACGAAAAGGTGTCAATGCCACCGAAAAGAACAGTACCGATTGCTGAGATGAAATATCCAAAATCTAAAAACCCAAGGCCGGTTTACTTTCTTCTTCTCAAGCTGTATCACAAGTCAGATTATCGCATTATTTCCAGGAACTTTTACTGGTTGCATCTGTCGGGTGGGGATTACAAGCTGTTAGAACCATATAGGAAGAAGACAGTACCACTCAAGGTTACATCTCAGATTTTCATCAAAGGAAGCACCTACGAAATGCATATGCGCGTGAAGAACACATCTAAGAAACCAGAGCCAAAAAGTTTGACCTTTCAAAACAATTTCACTACTAATCAAGGTGATGGCAATTTCGATGTAGCGCCAGTGGAAGCTACACATGATGGAGCAGACAGAAAACTTGAAGTTGGCTGGTTTCATAAAATATCCAGACATTTCACAAATGAGACTGATGGTTTGAGGGTTGCTGAAATCAATGGCGCCAACATAGGCGTTGCTTTCTTCCTTCATTTTTCTGTACATGGAGCGAAGAAGGACCATAAGGAAGGAGAAGACACAAGAATCCTTCCGGTTCATTACTCGGACAACTATTTTTCACTGGTGCCAGGTGAGGCTATGTCGATAAAGATCTCTTTCGAGGTCCCTCCCGGTGTCATCCCTCGAGTTACTCTCGACGGATGGAATTACCATGGTGTCCATACAGTCCATTGATTTGGTTAAAGATTGCTTTCTTTTGTCAATCAGTCTTTGCTGTATGTAACAGTTCGCACAAAAGTTCTTGCTCCCCTAGCAGAAGACCAACAAGGTGTCAAGCTCCAACTTCTACATGTTACATTATCCTTTGTTTCTACAAAGATTTTACGTCAACCTCCTCAAATGATGGTTGGAATAAAATCAAGATATAAGTTGAGAATATTTTTTTCTTCAGCAACAAGGAGCTTGTAATTCACGTGATTAAGAGTATTTAGTTTAATGGTGTTTCTTTCTCAATATTAGAAGAGGTACCAAGATCGAATCGCCTTGATAAAGAAAAAAAAAGCGCATGAGATTCAACTTCAAAGAGCTTATAATTCACATGATAGTATTTATTCAGATCGTCAAATTCTTAATCAAGCAACATTTCTCTCCTCAATATTTGAAGAATACTATATTCAAATCATCTATTCTCATCGATAAAGAAAAAAACTAAGCCTGAAATTCGACTGCAAGGAGCGTATCACTTGACTAAATACAATTTAATTTAGTGATATTTATCTTCTCAACGTCGCTCCTATAAAATTCTTAACCCGAAGGCGAGTTCGAACCCAGTCTCGATATCGTGTGTATAAAAATCCAAGTGCCAGCATCCGGAAACCTCAACTGTCAGTACTTGGTCTATGTGTCCCATTTTTCATGGATGAAATCCAGGTGGGTCTTTCAGCTTCAGAACCTCAGCTCCCACCACTTCCCCTCCTGCGCTTCCTCTCTAATCTCCGCCTTCAAAACCAAGCTCCACCGGAACCCCTATTCACAAACAACGGCAACATTGGTCCTCAACAATGTCGACATAAGCCTGCTCCTCTCTCTTTGTGGAAAAGATCGCAACTTTCAGCTGGGTTCTTCCCTCCACGCCTCTCTCATCAAGAACCCTGAATTCTTTCACCCTGAGAATCACGATGATCACCGCAATGCCCTTGTTGTTTGGAATTCTTTGCTGTCAGTGTACTTAAAATGTGGTAAATTACGGAATGCAGTCCAACTGTTTGATGATATGCATGTGAGGGATACGGTCTCGTGGAATACGATGATATCTGGATTTTTGAGGAATGGGGAGCTGGATAGTGGTTTTGGGTACTTTAAGCAAATGTGTGGATTGGGTTGTTATCGATTTGATAAAGCGACTTTGACTTCAATCTTAGCAGCTTTTGATGGGCCGGAGTTTTGTCACTTGAATAAGATGATGCATGGTTTGGTGGTTTTGAATGGATTTGAGCGGGAAACTGCTGTGGGGAATGCTTTGATCACATCGTATTGTAAATGTGGGTGTTTTCTGTCCGGAAGACGGGTGTTTGATGAGATGTTTGATAGGAATGTGATTACATGGACTGCGATGATTTCGGGCCTTGCACAGAATGAATACTATGTTGAAAGTTTGGAGTTGTTTTTGGAGATGCGTGGTGGAGTGGTGGATCCAAATTCTATGACTTATTTGGGATTACTCATGGCATGTTCTGGTTTGCAGGCAGTAAGTGTAGGGCGGCAAATTCATGGACTTGCATGGAAATTGGGAATTCAATCCGAGTTGTGCATTGAGAGTGCACTAATGGACGTGTATTCAAAATGTGGTAGTGTGGAAGAGGCATGGAAAATTTTTGAATCCACGGAAGAACTTGATGAGATTTCTATGACTGTTATTCTGGTGGGATTTGCACAAAATGGGTTTGAGGATGAAGCAATCCATATTTTTGTGAAAATGATAAAGGCAGGAATTGACATTGACCCAAACATGGTTTCAGCAGTTCTTGGCGTATTTGGTGTTGATACTTCTTTAGGTCTAGGAATGCAGCTCCACTCTTTAATTGTCAAGAAGAATTTTGGTTCAAACTCTTTTGTCGGTAATGGGCTTATAAATATGTACTCCAAGTGTGGAGAGTTGGAGGATTCAGTCAAAGTGTTCAGTCGGATGCCTCAAAGGAACTCAATTTCTTGGAATTCCATGATTGCAGCTTTTGCCCGTCATGGAGATGGCTCAAAAGCGTTACAGTTGTATGAAAAGATGAATATGGAAGGTGTACAACCAACAGATGTTACATTTCTGTCTCTACTTCATGCTTGTAGCCATGTTGGCTTCGTTGAAAGGGGCATGGAGTTCCTGAAATCCATGAACAAAGATCATGGGATGAGTCCGAGGCCAGAACACTATGCTTGTGTTGTCGACATGTTAGGTCGGGCAGGACATCTCACTGAGGCCAAAAGTTTTATCGAAAAGCTACCAGAGAATCCTGGTGTACTTGTTTGGCAAGCATTGCTTGGTGCTTGTTGCATTCACGGCGATTCAGAGATTGGCAAATATGCCGCGGACCAGTTGTTATTGGCAGCACCTGAGACACCAGCACCATATGTTTTGCTTGCCAATATATATTCTTCTGAAGGAAGGTGGAAAGAGAGAGCAAGGACTATTAAGGGGATGAAGGAGATGGGGGTGACAAAAGAAACGGGTATTAGTTGGATCGAGATTGAAAAGAAAGTTCAGAGCTTTGTTGTTGGGGATAGGATGCATCCACAAGCAGAGCCCATTTATAGGGTTTTAGGCGAACTGTTTAGACTGATGACAGATGAAGGGTATGTACCAGATGAAAGGTTTATACTGTACTATTTGGATCAAGTTGAAAAGAGATAAGAGCCAATTCTTTGTTACATTCTTAACGAAATGAAGACATATAAGAATGATTTAGGTTTGTCATTCCTTTATTATACGAATTTTCTATGTTTAATCCATCCTCATAAAGTCAAAGTTTTGAATTTTTTCATGCTGGGTTTTTTATTTCTCATCCGGAATATTTTCTCTCAGCAGCTGGATAAAATTAAAAGAACCTCGTTGAAATCTGGGATTGCAGACCTATCATAATATTTCGTAGACAACGAAAGAGAAACCTATTTGCATAAGGAATAATGAATTATTATCTTTTACATTTACATTGAGCAGTTGAGATCTGTTATTTTGGGTGTCAAGATATTTGCTTCTTTATGGACGACTGGAGATTTGAGTTTGCCAAGTCAGTATCAAATTCAAAAGCCACCATGAATTAGTAATCTTCATTTATGGAATTGACAACTTGATTGTTTTAGTACCTGGGGCCGCATGATTAAATCCTAATCTAGTAGTTAATGGAATGAGGGATGGATACCTGCAGCAATTAGTAACTAAACTGCTTTACATGAAATTGCACTGATTGATATTTGATTAAGTGGAGAAATGCCTTCAGAGCTGGGTGCCAAACTCCAGAACTTGCAGAAATTGTACCTGATCAATAACATATGCTTTCTGGTAAGATTCCAGTGACCCTCTCCAATCTCTCTCAGCTGACAGTATGAACAAATTAGAGGGGGAAGTTCCTGCAGAGTTGGGAATGCTACAGAACCTTGAGATTCTCTACTTTCATATCAATGCCTTAGGTGGTGGCGGCGGATTTGGTAATTCTTCCCTTAGTTTCTTAACAGCTCTCACAAACTGTATTTTGCTTCATGTTTGTTGGGGAAGAAATATACCATCTTCTGTCGGCGGTCTTTCAAAGACCTCTTTTACGTCAATCTTCTGGATAACGACATTACTGGAAGTATACCAGATAGTTTTGGAGACTTAAACAGCCTAGTAAGTTTATATATGTCAATCAACTAGTTGGAAGGAAAAATTCCAGCATCTATGGCCCTATGGGGAAGCTTGGGAATTTGCAGAGGTTATACTTGTACAAAAACAGAATTCTTGGAGCAATTCCAGATGACATGGGGAAGATGTTTAGCCTTTGTGTACTGGATCTTGGAAAAAAATTGATTGGCGGGTCTATTCCACCTTCACTTGGTAATCTCTTACAGCTGAGATATCTTAACCTGTCTGAAAACCGCCTATCTGGTAAATTTCCCGTCAACCTTACTCACTGTTCTCTAATGGTGCTTCTTAATTTATCTTTCAACAGCTTGCAAGGTTCTATTCCTGTACTGCTTGGCCTTCTTTCAAGATTAGACTTCTCAATTAACCTTTCAAACAGTCATTTCGAAGGTCAACTACCTGCAAGCATTGGAAAGTTGGTGTCCCTGCAAGCAATCGACTTCTCGAAGAATAAGTTGGACTCGTAAGATATTCTTGGAGAAGTCGATTGTTGGACTCATAGGATATTCTTGGAACACTCTCTTATCCTTGATTTTATTGGCTACAGGAACTTGGGAGAGCATCTCTATCCTGGTGGACTAGAGGAAGGAGCTTGTAAATTAACTTTGAATGAAAAAATATCAATAGCTACAGGTATTGCCAATCGCTTGGAGTATCTTTAAAAAGGCTGTCCAGTCCAAGTGGTACATTGTGATCTAAAACTGGAAAACGTGCTTCTCAGCACTGATATGGTGGCTCATGTAGCAGATATTGGGAATGGAAAGCTCATTTCAACTGACCAACTGAAAGAACATGTCAACGACCGGCTCTCTACGCGGATTAATTGGTTATATCACCAGGTATGCATATCACATGTATTTTTTATACTCTTCAAAGTGGCATTATGATTGAGAGAAATTGCTTCTGATTAAGTTAACCATCTTTATAAATTGCTTGTGAAACAGAATATGGACAGGGAATTGAGGTATCTGCTAAAAGGCATGTGCATTGCTTTGGTGTGATTCTGCTTGAGATGATGACAGGAAAAAGACCAACAAGCAATATGTTTTTGGGTGAGGTTGATTTAAGGAAGTGAGTGAGTTCTGCATTTCCTGGCCGGATTTTGGATGTTGTTGACACCACACTGAAGCTGGAGGCATACTCACGAGGCACGCATGGTGCTTTAGCAGAGCTCGAACTATGCAGCATTCAAGGGCTTGATATAGGGATGATGTGCACAGAGAGAGTCCACACAACGACCCTCGATGTCCTCGGTTGTGTCAATGCTGAAAAAAAAAAGTCTGGAAATAAGAGGAATTTGAAGCTCCAATTTCAGGTGCGGCTGGAAGATGATATATAGTAGAACTTCTACTTGTACAAGTTGTTCTTTCCTTCCACCTTTTGCTTGTGTGTGAAGTTGGGGGGCATCTGAGAGTCTTTTTATATTGTTTGTACTTAATGGAGACATGTTGATCAAAAGAATGCATATGTAAACTAGTTTGTCAATGTGATCAGTAAATGTGATACAAATAACATTGTTATATGAAAAATGCGTATGACTAGTTTAGCTGTCTATGTCTAGTATTATAATGATCATGTTTAATCTAGCACTATTTTTTCGCAAAAAACTTATTACTCAAATGGTCAAGAGTGTTTATCCTAGACGTTGAGGCCACTGTTCTAAACCCCCTTCCCACAATGTCAATAGAATAAAAAAAAAGGTACACGAATGACTATTACTAATATTAATAATCGTTTTTCTTATAACTATAATAATATGCCAATATATTCAAAGGTAGGCCCATCCAACTGAAACGCAACGTTTTGCCCTTCTACTAACATTAAATAATAGAGCAGCAGTTTTTCTTAGAAGTGAAGAGAGAGAAATGGAAGGTTTATTAGTGTGCGGTTGGAAGATACCACCAATTCTACCATTTCAAAAAGCCGGTACTACTCGTAACCGCCAGAAATTCACAGTGAAGAACTGCAGAGAGGATACTCCTCCTCTCTCCGCCACTTCCACCGCTTACACTATCCTCGGTGTCCAGCCTTCCTGCTCCGCCGCCGAGCTCAAAGCCGCCTTCCGCGCCAAAGTATTTATCCCACCAGATTCTTCTCTTCTTGTTTCTTCAATTAAAACATAATTTTAATTTAAAAATTATTATTGTGACAAAATAGGTGAAGCAGTTTCATCCAGATGTAAATAGGAACGGGAAAGATGCTGATATGATGATTCGCCGTGTAATTCAGGCCTATGAGGTAATTCTTTTATCTTTAAAAATGCCACTTTTATTTATAATTTCTGTTTCCGTAATATTTTTCGAACCATTTTTAGCCAAAATGGTCTCTGACATTGATGGAACTCCTTATGTTAGTTTCTGTCAATGAAAATTGATAAAAATGTATTTGAGTTTGTCTATCGTGAATTTTTTTTATTCTTCCGCGAAACATATGTTAATATCACGGAATAATCAAAATTATAAATCTTTTGAGGATATTGACAAATTTTTTATGAGGGGTCAATATGATTACAGTGGACAAATTCACAGACCACTTCAATTGGTTTTCATTGTCTGAGATCAAAATGAAGAATTATGACAACCTCATGGATCATTTTAAGATATATTTATATATATATATATATATATATATATTTTTTTTTTTTTTTTTGGGCTAGCAATGAAAATTGGTGATCATTGCGGTTAATAAAATGTGTGCAGATGTTATCGAGTTACAGCCGATCGGAGATAATCGAGAGGTAAACTTTGTTTTTAGTTTTGTGATTTTCTTATGCATACGTGTCAGACTGTGATTTGCACGTACGAAGGATGACAGGGTTGTTATAGCTCGCTAAGCTCACTATTTCTGCTTGGCTTTGTAGGGAATGTGTAGATCCCTTTGATAATCCAGAATGTGAAGCGTTTGATGTTTTTGTTAACGAGGTTCTTTGTGTGGGAAAAGGTACTCAATTAAGCTTTACTTGTTTTTACAAATGACATTATAACAAAAATCATCTTGTTAAGAGACGAATTCAAGATCTCTTGCTTACTAGACGGATGCTCTAACCAACTTAGCTACGAGAGAACATGAGTCGAACTTTTTCTGTTTTTAAAACAATCTGCAGGTTGTCTATATTCATGTGTACAAAGAGCCCCTCATGCCTTCACTTATGCTTCAACTGGGACTGCAAGAGCTACATCTCAAGGTTCGTTTCTTTCGTTTTGTTTCGTCTTTGTTGATACCTTTTCGGAATAAAACCCGGTTTTGATTAATGTTTGTAGGATTTGGGGATGATTACCAAGTTCAGCTTGCAGTTGGTCAGTGCCCAAGAAGTTGCATTCATTATGTTACTCCATCACAGAGAATTATTTTGGAGGAGTTACTTGACAGGTGGTTAATTTACTATTTACCTTGTCATACTTTATCTTTATCAGGGCTTGTTTGGATGTGCTACTAAAGCCTTTTTACTCATTAGCGCTTTTACAAGGAAGCAGTTTGTTGTCCTTCGTTAACTTTTCCTTTGTGTGGTTGATCTTGATTTTGCAGTATCATCAACACACCGTATGATAGTTCGCCCGAGGCAGATTTGCTCTACTCGCTTATAGTCAAAGCCATGTTTGAGAACAACCGGTATCAGAGGCCGAAGAAGCAGCCAAAAGCTTCGACACAACATGTTGATTGGTTTTGATTTGTGGAAGATTTTGTAGAGCACATATGTTGCTCAATGCCACTGTATGGGAGGAAGAAACTGATAGCAGAAATGTCGATTAGGGTTGCCTGTAAATTAGATCATTAAAGCTACTGTACTGGAGAATATCTATGCCAAAAGCACTCGGTTTCAGTGATACGAAAATGTGAAGTTTTCTTTCTTTCATTTGTTTCGACGGAAAATATCAGATGTAAAGCAAACACTTAATACAATCGCGTTACAGTGAAGGAGATGGATCAAAGCAGACTATAATTCTATCTTGAAATGACCCTCATAAATCGATTTAGCGAAGAGAACATCCCTGCAGCTTGATCAAACAAAGATTGGCCCTTCTCTGAGCTCTCATCTACATTTCCGAATATCATCTGCAAAAGATGAAATCGAATTCGTTTACCTTGTTTATACATTGTGTGTTCATTTGTTCAAGTCAAGGAGTTAGCATCAACTACCAACCTCAAGTTCTTCAGCGTCGGGGCGCTGAATGAGCTCTTTCGCGAGCAGGTATCTGTTCGGTCTATCCTTGTCATCGTAGAACACCTTCCATAGCCTGGTAAATGAGCAGGGGAACAAGACCTTAGCTGCAGAAACCGTAGACCAAAGGGGCCAATCTAAATGTTAAGAATTTAATACGATATTCAGATCTCGTACCCTGGATAACGCCTAAATACAGCACCAGATTCCATAGGCCTCATTGAGTAGACTGTCGTAAAAGTTCTGCAGACCACAAATACAGAAGGTACCAGGACACAACGAGGCGGTTAATTGTCTAATAACTGATAGTCGATAACCCAAAATAAGTAAAGATGCCAAATATATTCATCCAACCAACAGTTTTAGGGGGTCTCTTAAAAATTAATACCTGAGAAAGTACCGCCTTAACTTTCGAACATTGAATCCAACTCCTACATCCTCGCTGATGAGACGGGGGTTCCACATGATGAGAGGCCTTGGCTGCCAATTCACAAGAAAATGAGGAAAACTGCTTTGAGGTGTACTTTGAGAAAAAACCAAATGACCCGAAAAATAACATATTTCTGCATCGCATGGAGTATATATCAGGTAAATTTAACTTCAGAAGGTACGCAACAACAAGAATCACTAGCTTACCGGGTCATCTGAGAGAGTAGCTGCAAGTTTCTCGACGTATCCCAACATCTGGTAATCAGGAACAACCATAACCACAATCTCATCTTCACTCGTTATAGGCTTTCGGTCACTTAAGCTGAATTCAAGGGGACAGAAGATTGTATAATGAGGCGCGAAATCTAACATACGAGCACAGGTCAAAAAGAAATTCGAACCAAATTAATTATGCGTAGGACTCAGAGTTGGGACTCAACTGGAAGAACACAATAAACTGATGGCAGGTAACCATGGCCAATAAATACATGGCACAATAAGTCTCATATTCAAATGAAGAGAACCGCTCATATTATAAATTACCTGGCGAATCCAAAAGCAGCATCTTTCCAACGGTGTTTTAGAAGCGCTGCCGCACCAGCATCAGGAAACACAGCTTTAACTCTCTGGCAATCAAATTAGCACTTATCAGCTGAAATTATCTGTAGGTTGAAGCCAATGACAGTTAACAACAGAAACATTTTCAACTAACCTGACCGCCAGTTTCTTCAATCAGCGTATCTAAGAAAACCCTCGACAATTCCCAGAGCTCAGCTTGTGCACCTTCTTCGTCTAGAAATTGCAGCTGAGGGATCAAAAGCTCAACCTGTGAAAACATATCGAATTTACAAATCAAGCTTCGCAGACTAGCAACTAAAACGGGTAATGTGCTCGCCATTTTTCACTAGCCAGCACAAAATTAAGCACATATTCTACAACATAATCAAAGTTTTACACCTCAGATTAGCTAGATAGTTCGTTACGATGTTTGACTAATACATGTTATTTTAAATAACGCTTTGTCTAATGCCCAGACTGCATTACAAGAAGATTAAACTTATATCAATAAGATTATATTTTTTTGTTAGAGCACGTACTATGGCTCTCATTCCTCCTGAAGACACAAAATCTGCACTTGCTTCACCTGATTGACGCACTGCACCCTCCAAGTCAGAAGGCAAGCAGCTGAAACGTATCAAGACTATCACATCAATCCAAATTAATCAAATTATGGATCGAAAATTAACAGCTTAACGATTTGTTAATTAAGATTTTCGAGAGATGGACAAACGCCACAACAACTAATTAGTCCAATAACCATACCCCGCTTAACCATTGAATGATTCATTTGCCAAGATTTCATAAAACCCGATAAAACTAATTCACATATCACAAACTAGATATGTGCTCTCCTTATGAATTCGAGCTTGAATTCTCCTTCAACTGTAAATTAGTTTAAAGTAAAATATCGCTCGTATAAAAAGATGAAAAACAGTTCACCTGTCATCATCTTCCTGCTCGCCATCTTCTTCCTCAGGAGCTTCTAGAGATGGTGGTGGTGTGGCATCTTGAAGAATTTCCTGGGGAATCATACCTTGGAACTTATCAAACTTGGCAGATATTCTTGAAGAGGAAGAAGATTTGGTGAGGGAAGTTGCACTGCAGCCATTGAAGAAAGAGTGAGAAGAAGATAAGGGCAAATGTGTGGTGGTGGTTGAGTTGGATACTGAAGAAGAAGAAGAAAGGGAGCTGAAGTGAAACAAGCAGTTTGGGGATGTGGAGGAAGCCATCATCAACTTAGCCACTGGCACCAATTACTTTGTACAAAAGTTGCAGAGATCTATATTTTCTATCAGATATATATTTTTTATTTATTTTGTGATTGACTTGAGGAAGATCTTTATAGTAAATAGGAAGAAAACCAATCAAGGGCCAACTATACCTTATATTTTAGAATAATTACAAAATGCACCATTTGTTGTAAAAGTTGTGTGGGTGAATGCCTACATATTTTTAGCCAAAGATGAAAAGTGAGGAAGACTTAAGAATAGTAGCATTGTTGTTGTTGTATGAAGTTTTTCAAAAGGCACTCATTTCATTTTTGTGATTCTTCACGGATATGGCTCTATATAAGGAGCATTCTGTATATGATCACAATACACAGAAAATAAAAGAAGTGAAAGCATAATATCAATATCTCTTCCTTCCTCTTTTTACCTGCAATCCTTTATGTTATAATTACAAAAGTAAACAGTGTGATACATTACACCAGCTTCGCTTATGTCCCTAGCAAATGTTATCTCTTTAACTTTTGCCTATTTATAACACCGTTAAAATTTTGGGAATAATTTTCTATAAGAGGTATTTGTCTATTTACTTTCCAATTTTGTATAAAACTGTCAATTCCTTCTAAATTTTAATTTTAGTCAATTACCCTCTAAATTTTTATAACTAACCAATTTCTTCATAAACTTTTATTTTATCAGATTATTCATTTGAACTTTTATAAATAGTCAATTTCTTATTTTGGCGTTAGATAACATGAGAAAATTAAAACGTGTTATCTATTGAAAATTGAACTTCACTTAAAGGTGTATTTTGCAATTAGCTCTACTGGTAAACAACGTGAATGTTGCGTCATAGACGACGTGAAACTAAGCGTCGTTTGCCTTCGCAGTGACTGGGCCTATTGGGCCATTACGAAGTGGTCCACCGAGAAAATTTTGATAGCCGTTAGAGCAAAAGAGCTCCTTCCATTTAAACCAACGGCTAAGATCCCTTCAATTCAAACTTCAAAGCAATCAAAACCCTACCCTCACAAATCCCTCCGGTTCTGAATACAAAACTCAAAACGCTCCCTCTCTCTCTCTCTCTCTCTCCCCAGAAGTCGCATTCTTGCTCCGATTCGAATCCGTGGAAGGTACTTTCTCTCTCTTCAATTATTTCTTGTTTTTTATTTAATTTCTTGGTAAATCGTTGAGCGAACGCTGTATTAATCGCGAATTTTCCTGATTTAATTCAGATCAAACGGTGGAAATGTTCCACGAAAACTGCACCGACGTCGTTCCAGATCACTACTCCAAGCCTTCCGCAACCTCCGAAGCAGGTTTATGATTTATTTATTTATTTTTATATTTCATTTCCCCCTTTTTAAAAATTTTTGAATTACAAGAAAAGTTTGAATTTGCGGTTCGGATTCGAAGATTACTGCTTCTTTTAGTTTTAATTTAATTTTCCAGTCCAAGAAAATGTGGAATTTGGAGATTTTCTGATTTGATTGCATCCCTCTTTTTCTTCAGTTAAAACCCTAGAGACGATAGCAAGCCAGGTGGACAGTGATGTGAGCGACAAAGGTGGGTAATTTCTGCAGTTCTTGCCCTTTTAATTTTGTAATTTAAATTAGGAATTGTTGCCACTGAACTGTTAAATTTTGAAATTCAATCAGTTAGGTTAATTTTAACAAAATGGAAATGTGAATTTTTGAGTGGTGGTTGAAGTCAGGCACTAATTATAACATTATTCAGAATGTACTCCAGATATTGCTACCAAACCCGTCGACGGAGATTCTGATTTGATTGGTGAGAGTAGCGCGTCGAACGGAACAGAAGGTTCTCCATGTCAAAGGTTCCTTCCAGTTTTGCAGAAGATCACTGATTTGACAACCAAAATTCAGGTAATTCTTTAATATAGCATTTGTACATTCTTTTTGTTTTAGATCTTTGAAAAAATTTACTGTAAGTTTTCAGTTTTGCTCTTATTTTTTTAGGATTTGAAGAAAGAGCATACTGTCTTGTCTGATCAAGTCAAGCTCACAACGAATTCCTTTCCGGACCCTTCAGTTCTAAACACCATTCAGCTGCTAAGTGAGCCTTTTGTTTTGATTACTCAAGATTATTTTCTGACTTTCCTTCTATCTTGGATTGTAATTGGTTGTTTCTGGATCTCTAGGTATGGAACATGAACTTTTAAAGAAGAAGTACCTAGATGAGTTGTCCGAGCGAAAGAGACTTTACAATGAAGTGATTGAGCTTAAGGGCAACATCCGAGTTTTCTGCAGATGTAGACCTTTGAATCAAACTGAAATTTCAAGCGGATCTGGTTTCGTTGTTGAATTCGAATCCTCCCTAGATAACGAGCTGCATGTCATTTGTTCTGATTCCTCGAAAAAGCAGTTCAAGTTTGACCATGTCTTCAGACCTGAGGACAACCAAGGTAGTTGAGAACTCATACCGATTTTGTAATTGCACTGTGTAATAATCCACAGCTGATTTTGTTACGATGGATAACTTTTAGATATATTTTGTATCTTTGATTCTGAGCTTTCCAAATGTGCAGAGGCCGTTTTTGCTCAAACGAAGCCTATTGTGACTTCGGTGTTGGATGGGTATAATGTCTGCATTTTTGCCTATGGACAAACTGGAACTGGCAAGACCTTTACGATGGAGGGTACTCCTGAAAACAGAGGTGTTAACTACAGGACTCTGGAGGAGTTGTTTCGGATTTCAAAAGACAGAGGTGGCTTTATGAGATATGAGTTATGTGTTAGTATGCTGGAGGTTTATAATGAGAAGATTAGGGACCTCTTGGTCGATAACACTAATCAACCCACAAAGAAGTGAGTTTTCTTCTGCTTAGATGTTAATTGAGTAGGCTTTGCTACCGTAACCTTGCCATTTGAAAAATTGTTTATTCAAATCAAGTATCATCATACACATCATTTGGGCTGTTAAGATTTTGAAGAATCGAATTGGCCTCTGATTGACAATTGAAATGCTTACTTAGCTATTAACATAGACAATTGCAGAAATAGATTATAGTTGACCCTCACCACCTTCAGCGCTTCCACGAGTTTAATTGCATTTTAAGTTTGTTAACTGTCTAACGTTTTTATGTTATATCCTTTGGCAATCTTAAGAATCTCAGTTGGAGGATATAATGTTGATCCCTAATAGATGTGCTTATTTGTTTTCTGTTCAAAGGTTGGAAATAAAGCAATGTGCAGACGGAACCTTAGATGTTCCAGGACTTGTCGAAGAGCGTGTTTATGGCTTTGAAGAGATGTGGGAACTGCTAAAGTCTGGAAGCCAAGCAAGGTCTGTTGGATCTACCAGTGCTAATGAGCAGAGCAGCCGCTCTCACTGGTAACTTTCACGCTCAAAATCTCTTAAATATCTTCGTTTTCAGATTCTTGTTTTTTTCTCTGCTAGATTAAATGAAAGGGCACTAGTACACTGAATGTTTCAAAGCAGAGTGAATATCAAGAAATATGAGGAAACCAATTTTTCTTTCTATGGTTGTATCCACTAATCAGTGAAAATTTGTTTTCTACAGCTTGTTGCGGGTGACAGTGAAGGGGGAGAACTTGATAAATGGGCAAAAGACAAGGAGTCAACTGTGGCTCGTAGATTTGGCTGGCAGTGAACGTGTGGGGAGGATTGATGTTGAAGGTGAAAGACTGAAGGAATCTCAGTTTATAAATAAATCTCTCTCGGCTCTTGGCGATGTTATCTCATCCCTTGCATCCAAGACAGCCCACATTCCTTACAGGCAACTCTCTCTCTCTCTCTCTCTCTCTCTCTCTCTCTCTCTCACACACACACACACACACACACAAACACATTTGGCTACCATATCTAAACTTCTCTTCTTTTGGAAAAAAACCAGGAATTCAAAGCTTACTCATATGCTGCAGAGTTCTCTAGGTGAGCCTTTATAGTAATAATTCATTTCATGGGAGTGGCTCCTCTAAGTTGGTTATATATGATTTTAATTGAAATTTGATTTGCAGGGGGAGATTGCAAAACCTTGATGTTTGTCCAAATCAGCCCAAGTGCCTCAGATCTTGGAGAGACACTGTGTTCATTGAACTTTGCCAGCCGGGTGCGGGGAATAGAGAGTGGACCTGCTCGCAAACAGGCAGACCTCACTGAGCTGTTCAAGTACAAACAAATGGTATGTGTTATAAATTAAAGCATACTTTTGTTCTAGTTTATCTTGATTTCACATTACGAAAATTTTAATTCCTATTTAACAGGCTGAAAAGGCTAAACATGATGAGAAAGAAACAAAGAAACTACAGGATTGCATACAGTCTCTGCAGTTGAGGCTTGCTTCAAGGGAACACATCTGCAGAAATCTACAAGAAAAGGTAATCTATCTTCAAGGCGACTTGAATTTCAATTGAGTTTTTTATCTATTTGTTCATTGTTCAACAACTGAATTTTTTTTCATAGAATCGAGACCTTGAGAACCAGTTGGCTGAGGAAAGGAAGACCAGACTGAAACAGGAGACTAGAGCTTTCGCAGCGGTTTCTCATCAGTCTTCAGCATCATCATTCCGGAAACAAGGAGCTCAGAAGACTGCTGCAGAGAAGAAACCGCCATTGGCTCCTCCAAGATCAAGGCTACCTTTGCGAAGAATTTCCAACTTCATGCCCCCACCATCTGCTTTACCGCCCAAAAAAACCATTTCTAGAACTCCCGTCCCATCTTCAGTGGATGGAAAAGAAAACATCTCCACAACAGCACTAGCAGGAAGAAACCAGAAAAGCCAAATTTTACCTAGAAGAATCTCCATTGCTGTCAGACCTCCACCCGCAACAACACAACAGGTTCTCCAGCCTAAGAGACGAGTCTCTATTGCTACATATCGCCCTGACCCGAACTCTCACATGACAACACCCCTCCACACCTCTGCCTCTCTATTTAACAGTGGCAGACTGTCGTTTGCAAGGGATCCGCGAAAGGCACGGTATTCAAGGCTGTTCTCCCCGATGCCTGAATTGAAGTCAGAAGCAGAGACAACACCAACCACAATGAGTAGAAGCAGCAAGTTCATGGGTAGTCCCCCGACACTGGCTGGTTCAGTCAGGGCAGCGAGGCATCCGGTAGCAGTTGCATTACAACGGAAACCAGTAATCTGGAGTCCACTCAAGCTGAGAGGCATGAAAAACAGAAGGCCATCACTGTTACTGCCCCTCCGAGGTTCGAATGACATGCGGTGAACCAATTCGTCGTTGTCTATATTTTCAACTACCTTTAAACAGTAAATCCTTTTTTCTTTTTTACCGTAAAACTGTTGTGATAGTACTGAAAATGTATGCTTCTTGCCTACTAATCATTCATATTTCTCCTACCCATAATATCCCTTTGTATTTTCTTGCCTTCATTGTTAAACCACTTTGTAGCACTTTCTTGTTGAATGGGAAAAGGTTAGATTTCATAAATTAGAAGAGGTAGTTGTAGATTTGTCCCCGGATTTGTATGGAGCTGCCAATTTTCTTCTGAACTTTCATTTTAGTAGATTACTAATTGGGTTTGGTGTTGCACTAAATCTTCCGTTAACATAAATTTAGTTGACATAAAATTGCGTACCATCTGCATATTATATAATTGGGCCGGTTTTAAATAATTAATGTTGAGCTGACCTGACCCGTTACACATTCATATGTATATTTTGTAAACACTTTTATTCCTCTGTTGTACACTCATATGAGTTCCATTCCTTTTATTCATTTTCCTAATTAGTAATGCAGCCACACTCAACTCAACTATACCTTAATGCTCACTCTCTCTGTAGTCCTTTTGGTATTGGGTATCTAATACAAAGTTTGCTAATTGGCCATCATTATTAAATATCCAAATTAGATGGGTATCTAAAACAATTATTAACATGTCTATGTCATAACCTTATAGCATGGAAATGGTCTTACTTATTTTTCCTTTGTATTTTGTTTGATTCATTTGCTTGCACCTCAAGTTTCTAACCGCCGTTAACTTCAAACGGAGTCATTTGCTTGCACCTCAAGTTTCTAACTGCCGTTAACTTCAAACGGAGTACTAGAGAAGAGTGGGAGAGATGTTACATGTTATATATAGATTGATATTGAATTATTGATACACACCAAACGTCAAACTAAATAAATGTGTTTGTCATCTTCAAGACACATACAAAAATACACAAGAGGCCGTAAATTATTAGTATGAACACTTAATAGCTTTTTCTGTTTTTAGATTGGAGTAGGATTCTCTCCTCTCTTTTTTTTCCTCTTTTTCCCTCCCCTCCTATTTGAACGGTTACGGTTAAGTCACGTCAACATCTTATATTAATTTTTCATAGCAAGAGAAAGACAAAATAAGAGAATGTGAGATGAATGTATGGAAAAAGGAGGGAAGAGAATCCTAGTCATTTTCGATTTTCTATCATTTATAGGGGTTAGTAGACCCAGATTTGTTTAGTTGTGTTCTCTTTTTGTGGCTGTAGGCCTTCCTTTGTACCAACCCAAAAAAAAAAAAAGAGTAGTGTTGCTATGAAAGGAACCGGATCCCAATAATCTGAGTCCAATGATCATTTTATTTGAACCGTTGAAATTTGATCAAATGACTATAATTATTATAATTTTAAAGGAACCCCCTGTTTGTAACCATTAGATCAAATTTTAACGGTTCAGATCATTTTATTCTTAAGTTCAGATTGTTGGAATCCGAAAGAATCTAATTCCGCTATGAAATGCACTCTCTGTGAAGGCGCCATTTTAGCGGATAAAGGTTCGCTAAGTATGATCGAGCTGGGATTCTAATATTCCCCACATTTTTGGCAATCAAAAGTGACATGCATGTGCATTGTTTGCTAATTTGGGATGAATTATTAGTGCCTTGAACAAGTGACTTTCTTTGAAGAGTGATGCTGTGAAATGCTGGTTGGTATGATAGGAAGCAAACTAAGGGTAAGTTAACTTTAATTAGTGGGATGTTATGTAAAGAGTGATATATAGTGACATTGACTGATAGACACGTCAATCACATTCTCAATGGGAACCAATCACATGCACGGGAGTTTCTGGTTTTAATAATATATAAGCTTAGAGGGATACCCTAGTATGTACTCTAGGTTACAAATGAATTCTTATTTTTGTTTTTTTAAATAGGGATTAGTTATGGGATTCATTGCACATCAAACTTCAACGATTTAAATAGTCTATTTTGTAAGATTTGATCAATAGATCATTCTTATAAAAATTCAATCTAATTTGAAACAATTTGCCTAATTCATGTTAAGCTAACCTATCATGTTGTACATTCATATGTATATTTTGTAAACACTTTCATACACTCATATGGTCCTAATTAATTAAAAATCTCCAATAATGCAACCAAAGTTGAAAAAAATAGATAAAAATAAATAAAATACTTGGCACCCTTGAAATCCTTGAACACTTCTCCATTCAATTTCTCGGTAGCAACCATCATTACAAAATTAAAGGAAAACTAATGAAAATGGTTTAAAAACTTTAAGTTTAATCAAAATGACAAAAATGTGTTGTAAGTGAATAATATCAGGAGTGAATTTTTAGAGTAAAAATATTATTTTCGTTAAAAATAAACAATACCAAAAACGTTTCGTTAAAACTCTCTTAAAATAGTTTAAAATTGCTTTGAACATGGACGTGATGGCGAATCTCTGTATGCTGAAATGTAGAGTCGCCTCCTGTCCAACTCTCTCTAGCAAGCGGTATGAGAAAAGAAGAAAATCTCCAAATTTGAAGGAATAAAAGAGAGAGGAGGGGCCCATACGGGTCATGTTTCCACCCGGAAGATCAAAGGGAACGTTTGGTTTTTCAAGTCAGATATAATGGGACCCCAAAAAACCAGTTCAATATATGAAAGCCATCACCATCAAACTTGTGCTTGCTCTTATTTTCTAATTTTTATTTTTATTTTTATGAAAAAAAAGAAGAAGAAGAAAAAGATATCCAAGATTAAGTCATTGCATTATATGATATGTTAAAAGTGAATTATGATAATATATACAACTTAATAGGTAGTTGAACAAAATACGAAACCAGACCTCATGATCTAAGACTTACACATGCATTTGCATCTTGGACCAAGTACACATCAATCATGCGTGGAAAAATGAATTGATCGTACATGGTGTTCATGGGTGTTCACGCCAACAGGATCCTTTCCGGATTCTTTTGGTGAGGATCTTGAGGATCCGTAAATCATGTTTGTTCATTATATATTGTGCGGTCATTTTTTGTCAAGTACTGTTTATGTTTAATTTTAAATAAAAATATTTAAAATAATTTCTAACCGCACGATGTACGATGAACGGATAAGATTGACAGATCTCCGAAATCCTCACAAAGAGAATCCGGAGAGGATCCGGGTTGGGGTGCAGCTGTACACGATAAGTAAAAGTAACAAAGCGTACTGACCGTTAGATCTAAATACGCAATCAAAGGTTCCCATTAAAATTGAAAATAAATGAAAAGTGGCCGTTTGCGTGCGTTTGGTTGGATAAATTCGACCGTTGGACACCAAAACAGGAACTTAAACAAAGGATCCGTTACCAAAAGTGTTGCTGCTTCCATCTCGGTTTGACTTCTTCACTGAGGAAGACAAACTGCGAAGGCCAAAAGCGAAACCAAAGAGAAAGAAGCAGAAAGAGAGAGAGAGAGAGAGAGAGAGAGAGAGATCTTGGAGACCCACTTCCCACTAAGTGTTTTTCTCTCGTGTCTTAAGTAAAAAATGGTTGCAAAAACCCCACCAAAGCAGAGAAAAATGGTAGCCCCTCTCAATCCTCTTCTCCTCAGAGAAACAGTGAAGAAGGTGAGCTACTTCAATTTTTTTCTTGGAGTTCAAGAACTCGGAGTTGAAAGTTCAGTTCTTTGTAACTCTGGCATCGAACTTTGGCGGAATTTGAATATCTTGTGGATTTTCATGTGGTTTGGAGCAATGGGTTTCTGTAATTTTGTGGGTTCGTGAAGTTGGATAGATGAATTAAAATTTTTCATAGAAAGAAAAGAAAACCAAGAATTTGAAAGTTTTGTTTTCTGCCTTTCCTTCATTTCCTCGGCGCAGAGCATCTGTGTTTTGAGGAATTTGAATCTCTCTGATGGGATTTCTTGTGTTTTGGACTAATGGGTTTGTGTTGCTATGTGGGTTTGTGAAGGTGGATAGATGTATGGCTCGGTTGCAGGAGCTGCAGTACACAGTTTCGGGCGGTACGAAGGTGATCTCAGGAGTGAGTCTCAGCCCTCGGAGTACTAGAGGCTATCTCAGGACTAGCCTCCGATGCAAACAAGAAACTGCAAGGTAATTCAGAATCTGATTTGAATTTGATTTGTACAAACCAGGAACAAAAAATCCCAGCTTTTGCTTGGATTTGAAGTTTTTGATTAGTTTTGGTCAGTTCTGATATTGGAACTGAAATGGGTCTTTTGATTTATGCAGGATTAAAGGCTCAGCCCCTAGAAAATCTCCTGTTGGCAAGTTTCCAGCAAAGGCAGGAGGTATCTCTCTCTCTCTCTCTCTCTCTCTCTCTCTCCCCCTAAAATCATAGATATATGGCCAAATGGATTTTCTGACATGAACTTTATTCTTCACTTTTCTCAAAGAACACAATTGAGTTTAGGTTCAAAATCTGAAACTTTTGTTTTTGAAAATACGACATTCTAAACTGCTTTAATCCACAGGAGGGCTATTATAGCTCTTCGGTACAAATATGTTTGCCACACTGTAACGTCCAACTAACCTAATCCACGTCTACGAAATTTCTTTCTTTCCTTTGTAACCTGTTCTTGGAAACCAAACATAAGCAAGAATTTTTTTGAATTAGGTAGTAACTTCATTGCTATTGAATTCAGGGGAGTGGCAGAGAATGTCCTTGCCGGCAATGCTGGTCGGTGAAACCGTCGGAGAAATTCTACAAGCAAGCCAATTTGCGAGAGAAATAATAGCAGCAGTTGGCAACAAAACAAAGAAAACCACTTCCGAAGACCCCACAACCCCAATGACACAACAGAGGAAACAAAAGCAGAACCCTGAAAACACAGAGCTCAGGGCCAGAAGAAAGAAGGAGAAGCACAACAAGTCTCAATCCACTCGATCAGAATCCGGTTCCCCGGTACTGCAACGGGCTCGTTCCCGGATCAATTTCAAGGTCTCACCTCCACACAAGAGAGAAATAGAGAAAGAAAACAACAGATACGTGGCAAACAGAGTATCTCCGAAAAATAGGCCATGGGCTAAAAAAAGTGTGCTGTTTCCCAACCCTTTGTTTTCGGCTTCAGATTCTTCTCAGCAGCAGAAGTTCTGCAGAACAAGGTCACCGGTCATTGGCAGAAACGATTGTAACAATGATAGGCCAAGGATTCAGACTCCGCACAAGTTCTTGATCAAGTCCCCCACTTCTGCTTCGAAGTTTCCTTCACCTTCCAAGTTTCAGATCAAGATCAAGAGCCCTCCATTGGTTTCTTCTCTGTCTCCAACGAAAGCCAAGAGGTCACCGAAGATGTCAACTGCTTCAAAACTTCGCAGGTCATTTTCGCCGTCAAGATTGGCAACTAGGTTGGTGTCACCATTGAAGAGCAGAAAGAGTGTGCAGAAGAGTAGTGAGGGAGCACTATTAATGCATGGTTTGAAACAGCGTCCGACTTGCTCAGTGCCATTGGGACTTTCAGCTCGGAGAATTTGAAATATGTTTATGCATAGATTGGTGGTTTGGTTTGATTCTTTTGGTGTTTCAGATATTTTCTCAATGTCCATAGTCTCAAAATTTCATTGTTCATTTTTCGCTTATGAGTGTGAATTTGTCATCCATTTTTTCATGTACAAGATTTGACTTTCGAGTGATATTCAATAAGTTCGAATTTTTTTTTTTTTTTTTTTTTGGAGACGTTATGTTGTTTAAGAGCTTTTGCCTCCACACTCGAGGTCCTAATTTTGATTCCCCATCCCTCACTATTGGTTGTATTCGTATGTTAAACTTTTTACAATTTCGATATTAAGAGTGTCCTTACCACCATCACCTGAGCCAGGGGACCGTAACCAAATGCCTGAATGGTAACATCAAAAGATGGGTGCCCACTCTATCTATCCTCTCTTGTTAAAAGTCGTATCTGAGCAACACCTTTCCGAGGATTTGTTGGAAGTTTGGAGGGGCCTAGACGCGAAGTTAATGGTGCGGCTCACTGTTGCTTTGCTTTCTGAATTGCGGATTGTGGAGCATTTTTGTTGGGTCAATAGAGCACCACTCTCCTTGATTTGGTTCTGAACAAGGACGGTCTGAGGTACCGTTTGGTATGTGGGATGTGATGAAATGTAGTGGGACGGGACGCACTCATTTCATGTTTGGTGTGCCAATTTGCCTTCCGTGGAACGGATTTTAGTCAAACTTTCGTGCCACCCTCCCCCCTGCAACGACTTGTTCTAGCCCATGGAACATAAAATTATAACTTTTTGGACAACAATACCCCTCCTTTTTTCATTAATTTCACTTCAAAAATAATCAAAATTCCAGAGATCTCTCCATTTCTACACAATTAGCATAAAATATTCATTAAAAATCGAAATTTACCTCAACAGATCAACTCCAAAACTGAGTTCTCTTGTTTTTCCGAGCAAACAAGTTTCTGTAATCGCACTTCAAATTTTCCGAGAAACTGAATGATAAAAACCCAACAAAAAGCAATTTTCTTTGCGTTTGATTTCTATATTCAAAGAAGAAAAATAGCAAAACGAAGAACATCCAGATCGGATAAAAGGTTCCTCAAAAAGCTAAAGAGAGGAAATTTTCTGGGGAAACAAACAAGAAGAACATAAGGGTACCAAGGAAATCCGGCGAAAGGCCATGGCCGACGCTGTCACTTGAGGGATGGGATGGCAAGGATTAGGCGGAAGATATGAGGGATGACGTTGAACTCGTCCGCGATGGCTTAGGTAAGGTCAAACTCGTCGGAGTGGATGGGTATGATTGTTATTTAATCTTTCGTTCCATTTCAGCCTGAGCGTACACCAAACATAGCATGGAACCTCCATGCCATTCTGTCCCATCTGCATACCAAATGCTACCTCATTGTCCACCAAGTTATTATTGGTGACTTGGCTGTTCCTCCGGAGATCACACTTATGGTGGCCTTTCGTAGGCTCTTCTTTCTTTGTTTCTGGGTAGTTAGTAGTTACTGTGTTACCCTATTTCGTTCCAATGTAACTACTCAGAGAGAGAAAGACAGAGATTACTACAAACATAAACCGTTATTAATCACAACAATCAGAAACACACATCAAAAGTGGCAATCTATATATCATGTGCCATAAGTTCCAGATTACTAAATCAATAATACAATTTCTATTCACCGGATACCAAACATGAAAACATGAATAATTCGCCCGCCCCAAAAAGAATATACAGGCATGCTTACACTAGCTTGGCCTTTGATAGGACATACAAGCAATACCACTATAGGTGGTTGCACAAAGAGAAATTGAATTGGACGAATCAGATGCTGCAGCACTGCTGTTTCCATGTGGAACTGGATTTTGAAAAGCCGGAGCACCACAGACATTTACTGCTATGAACCAAACTCCAATCCAAAGATGAATTCTCAACAGGAAGCTATGACTGACTTCTAAGTCATTTGCCTGGTGATGCAAACCTAGTTCGCTCTCTCTGCCGATTTAAACCTCGATCCTTCGGAGATAATGTTTTCCCTCCTACACCTGCTTGGCGCATCATCTCTGCAAAAACAAGAAATTTGATAAAATCATTTTAGTTAAGTGACGGTTGAATAACATATAGGATGGTTTGTTGGTTTACATGTTTGTCATTTGTACAACTAAACTTCAGACAAGATATGTTAACAGTACAGAGATATAATCTTCGTGGGCAAATCAAAATCCCACAACTTCAGGACTATTACGCCAATCAACATAAAATCTTAAATGGCTGTAAGCAGAATGCTGACAGTCCTTCAAACTTTAACCGAAATGACGGAGCACAAAAGACAGTTGCTATAATAACCCTATATAGTTGGAATTAGAAACCACACGAGGAAAAAGTAAACTCTACCTCGCTTTCTCGCAAGCTCTAGATCAAGCTCTTCTTTCCACTTCCTCTCTCTCTCAGAGGAGCTCATACTGTGAGAAGTATCATATATCAGATTACTCAAAAGGGTAGAGAGAGGAAACAGAAAAGAAATGACATGAACTAACCTTGGACTGCCTGGCTCTTGCTGACTGCATGGAGGTGATGGCATGTCGTGTGCAGTTTGAACATTTGCATTACCAATATTTGAAACCAGCCTGCCATTACTCCCAGGGCTTCCAGTACTAAGAGCATCAGCTACTCCCCTACTGGGTGATCTACTTTTGGGAGGTAATTTCAAGTACCTTGAGGTAGGTTCATCAGGCGAGTTATCCACAAAATTTGGAGAGCAAATTACATTCAAGCTGTTGTAGAACTCTTCAAATAATGGCGTTTGCAGCTTTTTAAGTTCTAGGGCCTGAGATTTGGAAAAACAGCACAGTTCAGAAATAATCAAGTCCAAACCAAAATTTACAAAAGCATAATATCACAAACATAGAAGACACCTAATACTGACTCCAACCAAAACTGTACCTTCTCATCCAGAAAAGCTGTGATTTTTGATTCAGTAAGTATATCGTCTTCCTCCGCAAGTGATGTTCCACAAGGAAATGAAAAATCTTTTTCTCCCTCTCCAATTGTTCCAGAGTTACCCGCAGGAAAATCAGTTTGGTGATTGGTATCCAGACCCAGATCCATTCCATTTTGTTCGGTTTGTAAACTTCCACCAAACTTGCACACCAACTCATCATCAGTGGGTTCACACATTGGGTTAAAGCTCTAGCATAACAGAATAGCATGCAAACAGTTAGTTTCTGAATTTCTTGAGTGCTTAAAACTTATCTAACTCACAAATTCATGTACCTTGATGTTGTCAAGCATCAAAGAAGAACTGAGCTTTACTTCGCCCACCATAGTATCATCTTTGTCATCAATCTGACACATATCATCATCATTGCTGTTTCTTCCCCAAGTGGCTCTACTTTCCAGCAACTTGTTAGGATTTATAGTTGAGTGTTGCAAACTGCCCAAATTACACAAATCATCCGAATCTGGGCAAGTTGACATCTCGCTGGCAACAAAATTGATGCTACCATGTCAAAATCCTCCGAAAAATCATTAGCAAAAAGTTTCTATTTTACAAGTTCCAAAGAAGCATAATTGTAATACTTACAAGGTGTGCAGGTTTGGAGAATACGATGGAGATTGGAGTTCTGAATCTTCCTGATGATAGCAAATTAAGTGTCACTAAAATGATTTAAATGGTGAAAAACAAACACGACATTATTTAACATCTCACTCATTACCATGACAGAAGTACAAAAAATAGGATCTGATTCCATATTCTGCCCAGTTACGAATGGATGCTGCATGTAGTTGAAAAAGTGTAAGAACTTGATAGGATTGAAGGGAGCATCGTCAGTCAAAAGCAACAAACAAATTGTAGTGGAAGTAGAAGATGTGCAACATGTATTACAGGAAAAGGAACTCTAATACAAGAACGAAAACTTAATGAATTTTAATTTACCTGAAGCAACTCAGATGCAACTGACCTCAAATGCGGTTCCCTGCCATAGGACCAAGGTAAACATAAATTCAGAACAAATAAATACTCGAGTGGTAAGTTGATTATTACACAAGAAATATATTTATGGATTAAACGGAATGGGTAATTGCAACATTTAAAGAAAACAAGATCAGTAGCATACTTTTGCAGACATTTTAGCAAAAAATCTTTCGCCTCAAAGGATAGGTGCTCAGGGATTGGTGGATGAGACTTTGTTGTCCCTATATGAAAGAGAGCAGCAACCTAGAAACACATGCCATTAGTGTAACAAGCAAGGGGAAAACTTTCTTAAGAAAATAAAGAGTTAGCAGAATAATTACCTCTTGGTACTGTTGGCTCCAAGGAGGCTTTCCAGTGGCCATCTCAATCACAGTACATCCAACACTCCATATATCAGCAGAGCTGGACAGTTATTCTTATATATCAGTATTCTTTAGTTATCCAGAATAGAATACATAATGTAAATTTATTATCACTATCTAGGAAGAAGCGCCAGCATGATCGAATAACATGCTTGAAATCAAGTAGATGTTAAACGGTAATAATTGTGCATACAAGCTATGACCGGTCTGGAGAATAACTTCAGGAGCCATCCAGTATGGTGTACCCTTCATAGACTTAGCACCAGAAATGGTTGCCTGCAACAAAGCACCTCTCAATTCAATAGGAGATGCATTATAAGTAACCATGCATAAAAAGTACTGCACATCTGAAGAGAAAGGAAGGAAAATAAGTTTTTGTACCAGCTCGACGACCTGTTTGGATGCCCCAAAATCCGCAAGTTTGATGCATCCTTTATTATCAACAAGGATATTTGCTCCCTGAAAGTTAAAACGAGATGCATATTAGCCACTTACAAGGAAAAGTTAAGGTAGAGTCTAGAAACATTCTTGTACATGCATGGTTGCATACCACTCACAGTTAAGGTGGAATACCTACCTTAATGTCCCTGTGCATGATTCCATTTTTGTGTAAATATTCTAGTCCCAATAGCAACTGCTTGGTATATGTTTGTATTACCTGCTCAAAAAGATTGTTAAACTTTAGCATTCAAAACACCTACTGAATACAAAGTTAGCTGGCAAGAACTTACTGCCTCAGGGAAAGATCCAAATTTCCCCAAAAGTGATGATATGGATCCACCAGGGACAAATTCCAACAGAATATTCAAGGTATCGTCCTCCCTCACTGTACCTAAATATCTCTAAAATCCAAAACAAAGTACATGCTACAGGGTCAGAAAAGTGTAGGACTTCAAGAGTTGATAAGATACAAGGCAGTACTACTCACAACAATGTTTGGATGAGACAGATTCTTCAGAAGCTTTACTTCTTCCTCAAGCTCCTTGATGTGAGCCTACTTGTAGCATTAAAACCATTAATCAGCAAATTATAAGCAACTAAAATGATAAGATATCAACTGTAATACTAAGAAAAACTTCAGAAAATGTTTCAGATGTCCAAAAAATACTAAATTCTGTTGCTGAAAGTTAAATGTAAAAAGCAGTGATATATAGATCAGAAGACATTACACTTCATACACAACATCCACTCATACGCCTCATGCACCTGAAATTCACTCATAAATGTGAACAAACATCTAATATAGAGGGCAGCTATCCACCACAATCACATCCTATGTGCACCTCAAGGCTCACACACTTTACAGTGACACTTATGCTCGCTCTCCAACACCCTCAATGACACCCAAGACTCGACGCGTCCTGGGCATACACCAGAATGGATTTATGCTTCCTTCTATAGCAAGTTAGCAACAATGGGTCTGAAAACTAACCATCTTCAAAAACTCTCCAAAATTCTAGGATCCTGCCTATGACCTCATCCAACTTTTCAAGTGCATTAAAGGAAGTAAGAGGTGGTAAAGAGTCGACACTGATCCATCACAATCATCATGACCAACGGCATATATAACTCTAAAATCTTATAATTGCAGTAAGACGAGTTCAATTCAGACCTGTGCTTTCTCCTTTGAAGCGCCATTTGCCGCAATCAGAACCTGCAAAACAACCAACAAACATTCAAAAATATACTCTGAACCAAATACCAGACTGATCTAGCTATGAAACTAGTAAATTGAATACTCCAAAATGATCAAAAAACAAACTCAATATTTAGCCTAAACCAAATATCAAAAACGAAAATCAACTCCGAAACGAAAATTGGGGGAAAATCCAATCATGATTAGAACCAGCTCCAGCACCACCTCCAGATCAAAATCCATATAAAATCAAGCTTAAAACCCCAAAGCAAAAAGTCAACCAAAACGCCGAACAAATTAACACAACCCAGATGGAATTAACAACCGAAAAAAAAACAAAAAAACAAAACACAAACTTCAGAGCCTAGAAATAACGCCAAAAGCAGCAGAAAACTCAATAGAACAAAAAAGTGGACCTGTTTCACCGCAAGAAGCTCTCCGGAATCAAGATTCATGCCCATGTAAACACGCCCAAAGGCACCGCAGCCGATCAACTCGCCCTTCCGCCACCGGATCGGAGGAGCGTTTTCCTTCGCCATTGCCGGCAATGGAAGCGGCGGAGAGGGCTTGGAGAAGACTCTGGATTTCCGAATGCAGGAATTGATCTTGTCGACTAGGGTTCCTCCTTGGGAGTCTTCATTGTCCGATGCTGGGCGGAACACCAGTGATCGGCGAACTGATCCGAAAATTTCTTGCATTTCCCTTCTGCGAGTGTTTGTGTGGTTTGATTGAGAGAGCGTTCACGTTCTGCTGTTGATTTGGGGTTTCATTTGGTCGGCAGAGTAGAGTGAGAAACTTGGGAGGGGAGAGAGAGAGAGAGAGAGAGGGAGGAGGGAAAAAGGTGGAGGAGTTTTTTGAAAAATAATAATAACAAATGAAAATAAAATAATATGCACTGAAATCTTCTGTTGGCTAGGGCCAAAATAGAGGAAATTACATGTTGTAGACTTTGTAATTTGTACTATATAGTTTATTCTTTTGATAAAATTGTACCATGTAGTTAAGTTTTATTCCTTCTGTCTCCCAACAAGAGGTCTTACGTAAAACTGTTTCGTCGTCATTGCGGTATTTTAAATCATACAATGTCACGTGTAAGTTTATCAACATAACAGTACACTATTGGACTACAACGTCATATAGCAGTGAATTTGTTTAATGCAAGTTACACAACACAATTGACGTATTTTCTTTGATATCAAATATTCGAAAAATGTCTATAGTTCTAATCTCTATCTTTTATACTTTTTAAAACAAAAGATGAGGAAGTGATGATGGTCGGAAAGTTACTAGGTAAGCCATGGTTTGGTCGGATTGCTTTATATTATAAATGAGATAATGGGAGCATATGTCATGATGGTTGCCTGGTTAAAACTTTATTTTCTAATTCACAATGCATCCAAGATTTAAGTTGAAAATTTTGAAAATATGTGTGATTTAAGTTGAACATTGATTGTATACAAATTTCCTCATTACTTATAAAGTAAATAAAAGTAAGGTTACTAATTTAGTTAATTTAATCATTGTGTCTTTGATTCAACAATTTTATCATTATGTTTGGCTATAGTTTACAAGAACAAATGTAGCTAAATGAAATAGTAGATGAATAATACGTTTCGCTATAATCCTTGTGTTAGCTTTTGGTAGCTAATGTAGTTCATTGGTTTCAATGTAATGGAAATTGATCAACAACGACAAAGTTTCATTCCACTAAGTAAAGTCGGTTGTACGAATTTTAAAACACCACTGCACTCGGTTTTTCGAACAAAATATAAATACTGCTTCTCATATTCATATGTTTAAATTTCACAATCCACTTGCCAAGGCACTAATCAACTCAAATCATGAAAAAAAAGAACACAATTACATAAAGTTACACACCAAAAATTAAAATAAAAGCAAGGGCTATGTATACAAATGATGTTGTCTGGGGTCCTTAATCACAATTTTCCAATGTCCATCAGAATAATTAGCCTTAGCTGCCTTCACTCTCCTCGTCTTCAAATTTTCATCCATCTTCTTCGTCAAACCACAGTAAGATTTCAGCTTCAGTGGCATCTGATCATACACTTTCCACCATTTCTCGTGAGCCAAATCGCTCGCGAAAACGCTTCTTTCAGACCCTTCCCAGTTGCAGTCATAATCTCTGTAACACGCCCAAGGCTTGAGCCCCAAGTAATGTATTGCATAAAGGTCCTCAGCCATCTCATGATTTGCACCTTTTGATCCATGGAAACATTTTAGTGCATTTAGCCTCCAAGGCAACCTATGCCACCAAGTAAAAATCTCATTCAAAAAGCCCTGATCGCCGCCGTTGTAAGACTCGAGTTTGGATGTTTTTTGCATTAGGTATTCGAACATGCAGTTCGATGGCTCCACAACCATCAAGCCGGAGTTGAACAACACCCGGTTATTCCCCACGGCTGACAACTGTTGGTGCACGAAGAAACTATCTATGTTCTTGAGGACCAGAAGATCCGCGTCAATGAAAATAACCTTGTCATACTCCGTGAGCTGCCACACGCGGAGTTTGCTGTAGTTCCATTCGTTGTACGACCCTTTTTTAGCAAATGCGCTTCGGATTCTCTGGATTCGCTTGATCTTCCATCCTGCCGCGGTTAGGCCTTGGATGGATTTGGGAGTGATGAAGTCATCTGCAAGAAGGACTAGGTCTTTGGTGGAGTTGGTTTGCCTGATGCTTCGAGCTAGGGCTATTGCACCACACACATAGGCTTCTGAGGAGTGCAGGATTGTCACATAGGCAAGTCTACGTCCCTCGTATGGAATCCATGAGCTTGTTTCTAACATGAATTTTCTCCAGATTTCTCTGCCTGCAACAATATATTCAAATAATTTACTCAGACTAAATAATTTGTGAACATTTTTAAACAATTAATTAGATGGACATATATATAATTTACTCTAATTAAGTGGCACCATATAGAACAGTTATAAGTGTGAGATTTTACTCCCCTAAATTAAATCCCCTTCTTTTAACTAAAAGCTTTTGCAATGTTCTAAACTTTCGACCTTATTCCACTTTGTCCTTAAAATTTTCAGCTTGATTTTGAGCGTCCCTAAACTTTCAATTTCCCTTCCCTTTTCCCCAATCGTCGATTTTGTCACAATTTTGCTGTTAATAGTCAATTATGAGTAATGAAAATGACAAACTTTGAGGAGCATATACGTCAACAAAATTGTACATCCATGAGAAAGTAGAAATACGTAGAATTTTGATAATTGAGTTAGGAGACGAAAAAACAATTAAGGAGAATTGAAACTTACAGTTTTGCTACATAACGCGTTTATTGTACAAAATGGACGAAGCTAACCCTCAATTTGATGGAATAATTGACATGACAACGGCAAGAGGACATTGGCACTAAATAATGTTTAGGGGTGATGTGAACTAAACTGAAATTTCATGATACAAGTGGAACAAAGCTATAATACCATAATCCTACAGAAGGAAAAAAAAAATTAAAAAAAAAAAAAAAACCTGCTTAGACACTAATCTTAGGAGATCCTGTACACATATCATCAAATGTTAATTAACGATAACCAATCAGTTGATTTTCATTACAAAAGTACTAAGAATCGATCAACTGACTGAAAGTATGTTGGAACTGCAGGAAGAAATCAATTGTGATTAAACTAGTAAATAGTTAGTTAATTAGTACCTGCTTCCACATAACCTGAGGCAACTTGGCAAGATCCAACAGGCATATGCACAATTTGTTTCAATCTCCCAATATTAGGCCTATAAACCCAATAATTCCCTCTATGCATCAAAAGATCATCACATCTGAAAATCTCCACCATTGGTCCACAATCCCCGATAAACACAGTGTATACCGTCCGATGAGCATCGGGCTTCATCCACCCTTTACCCACCACTAGATTAGCCACCATCAAGTTAACTTGTAACCTAAACACATCTCTAATCCCTTCCCTGTCACTCGTCCCATTTGGTCCACAGGGAACCTTGGCCAGTACCACATCTATGCCCTCGTAATGCTCCAGCTTAGGAATTGGGATTTCCGGACACTTCGGCTTCCCCCATTTCTCGTCTTCATCTATCCATTCGGGAAAATAGTCCTTCCATTTCCGATCCCTAGCTACGCGTTCGAATGCTACTGAGACTGCCTCTGCATCCGATAGTCCATGGAGCTGACTATGAATGTGTTCATCTACGTTGACCAAACCTACCTTAATTTTTCTACCCTTGATTTTGAATAGCTTGGAAATGGCAACGAACCAATCTACGTTCTTTCTTTCGTTCTTGGTTTCATTCTTGATAACCTGTTGGTTTCGAATGGTAGCGCAATTATTTGACTTGGTGGGACGAAAGTTAAACGAGATAATTAGGCATAGGAAGAATAGAGAGAGAATAATTAGATAGAGAACGGAGGGGACTACTCGTCGTTTGGCGTAGGAGGAGGAGGAGGAGGAAGAAGAAAACTTGGAAGCCATATTCACATAGTTTGGTGAAGGAGCAAGCATTTGTACATTCGGGTTGTATATATGTGTGAGAGAGAGAGAGAGAGAGTTGAAGGGGAATTTGACGTTTATGGGAAAGGGTTTTAATGGGAAAGTTTGCATGGGTGGACGTTGGAGAAGATTATATTTTGCTTATATATGAGATTGCATCCTCGAGCGTATGGAGAGAGCGTTTTAAATCATTGTTTAAATTTTTCTTTACAAAGATACAATGACATAAATAGTGAATTTGATACTTTATAACTCCGGTCTTAATTATTATCCTTGTAAAGAGGTCTTAGCATAAAAAGAATCAAGGAAGGAGAGAAGAAGAATTGGCTCATACACACTCAATCTTTCAGAGGAACGTAAAGAATACAACGATATATTTATGAAGTGAGACTGGCGAGCTTATTGAAGATTTATTTTGTTGAAACGGTGATGAAATATATATATATATATATATATTTGAATAAGGATAATTTAGGTAACTAGGATTTTTTTTGTTTTTTTGTTTTTTGCTAAAAATATGTGAAATTCACTCATATTTGTGGGAGTGTCACAGTAACTACGAGTGCTTAGTAGAACTATTTTTATGAGTGAGAGAGTCACGATTTTTTTTTGGTTGACAACGGGGCATAAGCTCAAAAGAAAAGAAAAGATTACATAAGAAATCATCACACCTTAGCTATATCTGCAACTAACAACCAACGAATAAAAGAGGAGCTTGAATATTTTTAATCTCTTATATCATATATTTCATGGATTGAAAAAATTAGTTATGCCATTGATAACATGTATTTTACTTCTCGAAGTGAAGATGGAGATCCGCTCACAATAATACAGTTTATTGGAAAAATATTTATACCACATTTACTCAATTTCCAATTAATTAAACTATTACTTTAATCAGGTGGATTACTTTGACCCAAAAAATATAGAAACATGTGAACTATAGTTAATCCAAACACAGGCTTATAAGGTAGACAGTTCGAAATGCTAGAAACGTATCTTTGCATTTTTGGCCCTAGTAGGCATCCAACTTGTTGCACTAACAAATGCATGGTAGGATAATTTTTGCATTTCCGCTCAAAATATTATTGTTAAGGGGGTTACCGTTATTCGAAATCTATTAATGTAACAAATCGTGAAATATTAAAAAAAATATATTGTGTTTAATAATCTTCCATTTCTCGATAATAAAAATTCCTTCAGTAATTTAACATGTAATTAAACAATAAACACTTTGTTCAAAAAAAAAAAAAAAAAACTATAAACATATATGAATGACTAAACGGTCTCCAAATTAAGTGAATTCATCAAGAAATAATCTTTAAAAGATGATAAAATGAATGAGCAATTCCAATTATAACGTTTATACACTAAAATGATGTCACGTTAATGGAGAAAGACCTATTTACTAAAAATGAAGAAAGTATAATCCATAATAATATTATAACACTTATTTTGAGAATAATAGAATCCAGATCCAGTCCGTACAAGAACCTAAAACAGTAAAACCAATTTGACGATAAGCTCCCAACGCAGTCGGGCCATTGTCATGGAAGGGCATAGTGAGCCTGAAGAGTTCTTTCTATTCCTAAGTACTGTTTGGCATGTGGGATGAAACAGAACATAGTGTGTGGGATGAAACAGAACATAGTGAGACAGAACACCTCATTTCACGTTTGGTGCGTAAAAAATAGTGGGATGCGCTATTCCACGTAACGAATTTTAGTTAAATTTTCGTTTCATCTTCCCTTGGAACAACTCATTCCATTCTTGTGGAACACAAAATTTTAAAATTTTAAAACAAAAATACCCCTTATCTTTTTCAATATTTACACCATCCAAATCATAAAACAAATCCTAAAATTATATCATCTTCTTTCCATCTTCTCTGCTGCTGCCTTTCTTTTCCCGTAGCCTTCCTCCGCATCCTCTACCATAGCATCCCTTTCCCGTAGCCTTCCTCTTCATCCTCATCCTCTCCTCCTCCTCTCCCGTAGCCTCTCTTTTCTTTTTTCTCACAACACGCTGCAGATTGACCCATGTATCTGTCTTTTCTTAATTCTTTATTTTTCTTCTTTCTAAGGTCAGAATCAGGCTTTAATGCCTTAATCTGAAGATTTTGGTATTGTAATTCTATTCAATTTGAAAAATTAAATTAGAAAGTGGGAGTTTTAGTGTTAAATCAAATTTTAGGGTTAGGAATTAGGAGCATATATTTCCTAATGTTACAAAGAACACACTTCATGCTCATTGATAGAGACGTCAAAGATTTACGAAGAAACATGAAAGATGATAATGCTAATGGTGTGTCCCTGGGTAGTGAAACATCAAGTGTGCATATTTTGTGTTCTGTGTTTTTGTCTCCCTGGGTTAGGAATTAGGAGCAGGTATTTGTGTTGTGTGTTTTTGTCTCTTGTTTACGTGTTAATATTTATGTTAATATTTACCAACCGCATCCGAGTGTGTGTATTTTGAAAGGAAAATTAATGAAAAGGGTTTGAAAACTTTGGGTTTTAACGATAAGGACAAAATAAAGGGTAAACTGAATAATACTATGATTGACTTTTTAGTGTAAAAATATGGTTTTTCGTTAAAATAAACAGTACCGAAAACTTTTCGTTAAAGTTCCTTATTTTGAAATGTTAGCGGCTCAATACTCGAGGATTTTCTTTCGTAAAAGAACCCCTTATGCTTCACCGTGTGTTTCATCATGTAACTGCTAGCTATGAGAAGAAACCCGTAGTGAATTATTCTTTTGAACTTGTTGAAATATAGAAAGGTGTCTTTAATAATCACCAGCATTTGGTTTCTCTAATCTCTAGTTCTAAGTGGAGCCAGTTTCTGGGGCTAATTAGTTTTGTGGTATATGGTATAGAAAGAAATTATTGATTTTAGAATTCAGTTGACTCTTACCAAGAAGATTTAAAGGTTATAGTCAAGCTATTCTTCATGCCTTTATGCTCTAACATGTGCAGAGATTTTATGTTTACTTGTTAGATAAACGTACAGAAGGTTCCGCTCTAATTAATGGATTATTTTCTTTGCTAATGTGAATCTGTGATATGCTTAGATAAGCAGTTAGGTATTTTTTATTTTTTTTTTATACGAATGAGATGTAATGTGAATTAAAATTTTCTTTTTACATGGGCCAGTATTTCTGGATTCATCATTCGTATTGAATTCCTTATCTCCTAATTAACCTTTAATTTCCTTTGCAATTGTGTGTTTCAATAATGTGTATATAATTGGCTCTTCTAGGTTGTACCCAATCAAGCTTGGTACTTGGTATTATGTATTTTGCATGTCGTTCATGAAGGTTTCATCATGTGCATATTTCTTCCCTTCGTAATATTTTTATCTAACGTTTGTTATTGCCCAAGTACTACGTCTTTGTAACCTCAAATTTTGACTTTTTATTTTTTATTTCTGAAATTTTGACACAATCATCTTGAAAGACTGATGAATCTATTCCAATTTTTTACTTTTTCAAAGGATTAATGTGAAATGCTCTGTGGCTGATTACTTGGTGCTTTTCTTTTGTAAAAGTAGCCCTTGTCTTTAACCAAGTGAGACATCATGTAAGTTTGTAACTGCTTTGCTAGGAGGGAAGTATGCAAGCGCTTTAGGAAAACTATGTGAAAGATTGTGACCTGCAAGCAGTTTTACTAGTGTGTGTGATTGTAAGATATGGTATGTTGAATTTTATAGTAAAACACAGAAGCATATTTGAAATCTAGACTAGGAATCTACAAAAGCTTTTTCATCGTTAATAGCTATGGTTCTTTGATTTTTTTTTTTTTTTTCCCTTCAAATATCTTCACTTTAGCTATCTGTTCGTCCCTGGCCAGCTATTTATTTATTCTCTTTAGGATATAAAATGTCATATCTATGTGTTGTATGGTTTTGCGTAGAAGAATTATGGAGTGACATCGTGTTGCAATTGTGTGGATACAATTTTGTATTTGGTTTGTGTTTTTAAAGCTTAGTTCACTTGTTGAATATTTTCTCTTTCTTTTGAGCTTCAGTGTACCAGTCGTGTTAGATTGTTGGGGAATTCAGCCAAAAGGCTTTTCAGATACATGCGCTTTCTTTCTTGGGAGGTTCGTGCGTATTTCTCAACTTTTTCATAGGTGAATTGTTTTAAATACGTGTTCTTTTCTTTTTTGTAGTACTGTGTTTCATTGTCGACTTTGTTATGCATATATGTTAAATGTCCTTAGTCCGACTCTTACAAACGAATACATGTGTTGTTTTTTTGCATGTGAAGGCATGGATGAATATGAGACTCACTTCTTTGTTCTTTTGAACGTTTGGATTATATAGCAAAAGTCTTTACTATAAATGCACAATTGTTGGTATAGACAACAACAAAGGAGACAAAGAGAAAAAGCTAGTTTAGAGCATATGACATTTGTTAGACTTCATGTTAGGAGAGTGACGAAGTACTACAACTGTGGGTTATAATGGCACAATTTTTGAGGTATAGACAACAACAAAGTATTCATCTGCATATGACATGATGAATACCTCTGGATTTGGTTAGGATGACGAGAAAAAAATGTGTTCTTGTGAATAGTGACGAAGTACTACAACTGTGGGTGAAGGTAGATTTGTTTCTTATTCTTTCTCAAAAACATAAATTTATTAATTAAAGTCAAATATAACGTCCAAATAAATCTTATTTGATAAAAAAAAAAAAAAAAAAACAAATAAACTTCAATCCTCCTCTTCCAGGGCATCAGAAACTCCCCCACGCTCCACATCCCGCAGCACATCGTACTTCCATTGCCAGAAATGCATCTTGAAAAGGTCATCCAGATACTTCCGCTGCTTCTCATCGGTTTCATCAACATCCCAATGAACCTATATTAATGCCAATAACAATAAATTAGTAACTTAAAAAATACTACTTTTTTACAAAAATAATTATACATTCTTTAATACAAAAGTATTGATAACTTCCCCACCATGAACTTCTTCAA